AAACTGCGACGATTTGCTTTAACTGGAAGATAAATCCAAGTTAATATTAGCACACTGCATATGGAAGGGGACTTGCAGCAAGGAGAAAACCATGACAGTTCTGCGCGACTACTGGAGTTTCTGGAACACCTGCCTGACCACCACACTCCACCGCCTGATAAAGCAGCACACGTCCAACATACAGAGTGTTCTCTAAAGCCAAGATCCTTAGCAACTCAAATGTAAACAGTGCTTCTTCCTTTCTTTACACATAAAGGGACAATTAGGTTAAATAAGTATATTATTTTAGAGGTGAACAATGTTTTACAAATGAACACACACACACCCTAAGTCTATGGTTTTCACACACAGAACCATGCTTTACCACACGGTTCCATCAACAAAAGGGATATACACATATTCTAACTTAACTGATCATCTTCCTTCTCTCCTTCTTTAAGTGCTTAAGATCCTAGATATTGCAAATATCTTAAGATATTGCTAAAAGCTTTGGGACGACCCCAATCACCTGCCAGGTAACTTCTTGTTCAATCCTCACAACTATGATGCTAATTATTGTTTACCCCCATTTACAAATGAGAAAATGTAAACCGAGAGGGTAATCTGCTCACGTAAGGACAAGAGTTGGCACTTAATCCAGGGCATCCAAGTTTGGATGGCTCTTTCCACAACACCAGCAGTTCTCAAAGCGTGGTCTACAAACCTCTGGGGGTGACCAAGACTCTCCTGGGGGGTCTACGGAGTCAAAGTTACTTTCATAAAATCTCTAAGACTCCATTTGCCTTTTGCATGTTGACACTCACACTGATGATGCCAAGAGCAATGGAGGGGGAAGCTGCTGGCAGCTGTGGCCCTGCGGGCCTCACTGCTGCTCACGTGCCATGGAAACACTGCCAGTTTCCTCTAAGAATGCCCTTGGTGACACAGTAAAATGGTCTCATGCAATCGCAACCCTCGAGCACACACTCTTCAATATTCCGTGTGTGGTATGAGAGGCATGCACACAGCCCCTGCTGCACACCAAGGCTAAAGGAAAAGCCCCATGCAACTGAGCTGAGCGCTCAGCTTTTTTTTCTTTTTTAGGCAGACCATTTTGATGTGAAAGAACTGGTGAGCAATGGATACTCAGGCTTCAGTATTCAACAAATAGTTTCTCAAAATGAAAAAAGCAAGTTTGTCATTTCATGGAAAACCACTGTGTTTGTAACCAATGATAACATTCAAGCTTTCAAAGACAAATGAGGAGCTGGGGAAACTGGCACCTACTAGCATAAGACTTTCTGATGAGATCAGTTGTGATACTGATGTGATTTTTTTAGAAATATGTAAAGAAATGTGTCAACATTTAGAAGACCTGCACACACAGTAAAACACTATTTCTCAAATGACCAATACTGGATACTGCATAATCATGCGTGGGCAGAAGATATCATTCTTCACACATCTGAAGTGTATAGTGGACCAATGGACTGTTAGTGTACTACAGCGTGAAATCTTCACTGATAGGGATTCAGATCCACACTGCAGCTCTTTCAAGAAATGACCACTTGCCAAGTTTCGGTGTAGTATCAGATGCACAATTATCTGAAAAGGCATATTAGACCATGTCTCCCTTTGTAAAACATGTGTGTGTGTGAAGTTGGACTTTACATGTTAACATGTAACAGCTCGCATGCAGAAACACACGAGAGGCCACAGCATTGTGGCACAGTGAGTACGCTGCTGCCTGCGCTACCACATCCCGTATCAGAGCCACAGCTGCTCCGTTTCCTATCCAGCTCCCTAATGTGCCTAGGAAAGCAGCAGAAGATGGCCCACATGCTTGGGGCCTATCCACACGTGGGAGACGCAGAAGGAGTACCAGGCCACTGGCTTCAGCCTGGACCAGCCTCAGCTGTTGCAGCCATTTGGCCAGTGATGCAGAAGGTGGAAGACGTCTCTTTTTCTCTCTGTATCACTCTGCCTTTCAAATAATAAATCTTTCCTTTTCTTAAAAAAAGGATGCACAATGCAGTTGTCTTCTGTATATACATCAGAGATTTCAAAAACTAAATGAAAACTCCTCTCTGCCAATTTTTTTGGAAAACAGTAATTTTTCATAAAAAAGTTACTTTCATTAATATGCAATGAGAACTATTATTTTTGTGAATTTATGTTTTATTACCTAATTTCTCACATATTTTCTCATTTTATCTAACTACCAACCTCTTGGTCCTCTCCATCCTATTGCCTGTGGACTTTTTCTTTTTTAAGATTTATTTATTTGAAAGTCAGAGTTAGAGAGATAGAGACACAGAGATCTACTATCCCCAAATGGCTGCAACGGCCAGGACTGGGCCAGGCCAAAGCCAGGAGCTTCATCCAGGTCTCCCATGTGGGTGGCGGGCCCAAACTCTTGGGCCATCTTCCACTGTTTTTCCCAGGCCATTAGCAGGGAGCTAGATGGGAAGTGGAGTGGATGAGATGCTTTACATGCTACACCACAATGCTAGCCCTTCACTTTAATTTCTAATGCAGTAAGTATCAATAGATATAATCCACATGAATGTAAGCTCCTCCATAAAGTACTCAATCATTTTTAAAAGTATAATTTTTGAGATCAAGAAGACTGTAAACTGCTACACTGCTCTCATGCCATCTGCCTTTAGTATTTAAACTGACAGTAGAAAACAACTCGATACAAACACTTCTCCAAAAACCTTTAAGAAGTCACCATGTTGTACTGAACACAGCATTCTCGATCAGGACACACTCAGGCAGCATCGACCTTATGGTCACACGGGATAAGAGATCCCCTGAAATGAAATGCTCATACAGCAAGCTTTAAATTATGTCCAAAAGCACCTTAGCCAATGGGGGTGGAAAGGCTAGAAACGGGTCTACGTACCTACTTACTCCAGTGGTGCCCAGCAACACTGATGTCTCACTAGTTAGAGCAGGTAGCAAACACACTCCCTGACAGCTAAAATCTAGGCAGTGTTTTCAATTAATAGTAAGACTTATTCCTGACACTACAGCAAAGATGGAAAACGCCTACTACTAGCTAATTATGTGTAATGTTTTATGGCATTCATTGTGAAGACATCAAATTCAATTAAAGGCAGCTTTTAATTGGAATATATCCTATCTTTGAAGTTGGTATTAAACATTTGGTGATCTAGTCATTAGGTCTGAAGGAGGACAGTAAAAAGTAGAAGTAGCTACTCACATTCTTGTTAGACAATGGCTGTGGGAACAAAATGGGTTTCTATTTGTTCCAGCAAACATTTGAGGATCTTCAAAAAAATTCATGGGAAATGTATATTATGAAAAAAAAGTGTGGATTTCAGGAAAAGAAACTGCAAATTAAACTTATCTTTTAATTCCATTTTCCATGAACTTTGTGAAGTGCCTTGGCATGTATTTGTACTCAAAGAGTACAAACAGGTTGATTTCTGCAAAGTACATGTGAATAGTCTTAATAGGTTTCATTAGAAGTTCCTACAAAATACTAAGCACTTTTTGTTGTGTTTATTAGTTTTGTCAGCCAAATGTGCCCAACTGAAAATTAAAATATCAATCCAAGGATAAGCCAAATTACATATTTTTCAGAACCAAACTACAGAAAATACTAAAGTCAGTGAAATTTCCAAGTTGAAATGACATCCATTAAAGCACAGAAACGCTGATACATTAGGAAGCCTGGCACTGGGGATAGGAATGATAATGAAAGCATCATATTTTTCATTTAGGGTAGCATTAAACCAAAGTTATCGTTAAGTGAGCCATAAAACCTGGCCCATTAATCTCACTGAATTGTATACTTACAAGTGGTCAGTGGCCGGCGCCGTGGCTCACTTGGCTAATCCTCCACCTGTGGCACCAGCACCCCGGGTTCTAGTCCCGGTTGCTCCTCTTCCAGTCCAGCTCTCTGCTGTGGCCCCAGGAAGGCAGTGGAGGATGGCCCAAGTGCTTGGGTCCCTGCACCCACATGGGAGACCAGGAGGAAGCACCTGGCTCCTGGCTTCGGATTGGCACAGTGCCAGCCGTAGCGGCCATTTGGGGAGTGAACCAATGGAAAGGAAGACCTTTCTCTCTGTCTCTCTCACTGTCTATAACTCTCTGTCTAACTCTGGCAAAAAAAAAAAAAAGGTCAAAATGGCAAACTTTATGTTTTATACATTTTATCACGACTTTTAAAAATTATTAATATATTGTATACTTTTTAAAAAAGACTTGAAAGACAGAGCAACAGAAGGAGAGGGAGAATGCAACAGAGATCTCATCTGCTGATTCATTTCCCAAACTCCTGAAACAGCCAGGGCTGGACCAGGCTAAAGCCAGGAACCAGGAACTCCATGTAGGTCTCCCCTGTGGGTGGCAGGTGCCCAAGCACTTGAGCCATCAACCACTGCCTTCCAGGATGCACCAGCAGGAAACAGGAAGGAAGCAGAGCAGCCAGGACTCTAACTAGCACTGATATGCAATGCGGGTGTCCCAAGAAGTGGCTTGACCACTATGCCACAAAACCACCTTGGCTGTACACTCTATATGGATGAACTGTACGATATGGGAATTATACCTCAATAAAGCTACTAAAATAAGAAACCTGTCCCAGATGCTGGAACTGTTATGGCAGTTTATCCAGAGATCAACTGGCTCATCTTCCTAGTAAAAGTGCTCCAATACAGGGCAGGCATTGTGGTGCAGGGCATTCTGTATCAGAATACCTGGAACTGAGACCCACCTCTGCTTCTAATCCAGCTTCCTGCAAAGCAGATGATGCCTATGGCTAAGTTCCTGGCTCCTGGCTCCGGCCTGGTCCAGCCCTGGCTGTTGCAGGCATGTGAGGAGTGAAGCAGCGGATGGAAGGTCTCTACCTCTCTTTGTCATTCTGCCTTTAAACTGAATTCAAATAAATACACTTTAAAAAAAGCTCCTCAACATCTCAGATTTTCTACAGTAACTTGTATAAGAAAAACCAACAAGAGTATCATACAAATAAAAAGTCACATACTTGGTTCCTTTAAGCTTATTTAATATTTGAACTCTTATTTTCTATTTTCCCAGACCCCAGAAAACAGAAAAGTTTTTAGATGACCAATATTTTGTTCCAGAAACATACAGCCTTATCAGCTAATTCATAAAAGAGCTATTTTTACAAAGGTACATCTGGATAATTAGAACAATAAAGTCTTTTAGGCATTTCAAAATGTGATCAGTAAAAATACATGATTATTAATAAAGTTTTTTTAAAGATAGTTCCAGATTTTCTTTTAAAAGCAATTTCTGTTAAAGAGTACATGATTGTATGGTGAACAAGGAAAATAAAATGTTCTAGTAGGAAGAGACTTATTAAAAATAACCAACAGTGTGCACATTACAGTTACCATTTTTGCAGTACATCTGCTTAGCAGTTGGCACCTGGAAATGGCGGGGAGAGCTTCCTTCTAGGAGGTACATTTTTTTTCCTACAAATTTATTATCAAAATCCTCAGTACCAGTGGGGAAGGCATAAGGAATGATGTGACACAAAAGGAACTCTTAATTCTTGAGGAAAGGATAGTTTTTCAGATCTCTTTGAAAAGGGGTAGAAATGTCAGAAAATACATGACTCACAAAACAAAAGCTATCATACTAAAGGGAAAAAATATCCAGCCAGCAGGACGCTGACTGCAAATTCCTGCTAATTTTGTATTTTGAGGTCCTATGCACAGTTTTCAATGGTGCCCTCTGTGACATACAGGGAAGAAAATATTGACCAAAGCTCTAGTAGCTCAAAATAACATCACACATCAACTCCAGAGTTTGAAATACAGAAGCCCCATGTAACACAAAATGTGCGAACATCAAAAAGGTGGGGAAAAGATGCAAGGAAAAGACAATTCACAGGAAACATAATTATTTTCTTTAGCTGCTAAAAATAAGAAAAAAAAAAAAAAAGACTTCTTCTCTACTATCCCAACAGCTCCTCCTTCACCCACCAGGGGACGAGTCAAAAAAATTTTTAAAAGAGATTTGTCCTTTCAAACAGTCATTAGAAGCTGTTGTGGAAAAGCAAGCCAAAAAGCTGAGTACGAGTACACCTCCCATACAATGTAATATAATAATTCCAATTTAGGTTCTAAAAGCCAACATAATTCAAGCAGTCCAAGTTAGCTGATTTTAAAGCACGCAAAATATATGTCTTCTAGAGTAATGATCATGATTTTAAATTATAGCATTTTGTGAGCTTGCTGATTTGCCTTGATTAACTCTGTTCTCTGAAAAGGAGATACTCCAAATGTAATCTGCCACTTAACAGCAGAGGAGCCACTAAGCCCATGGGCAGGAATACAGTACCACAGCAGGTCACTCAATGGCCAAGAAACAAATTTCTCGCTCTAGGAAGGCTGCTCTGTCCTTCACCCTTGCAACTCCTCAGCACAGAAGTCAGGGTCTGACTTCAGTCATGGAACTTTGAGAAATCTACTTTGATGGTAACCAGTCTCAGAGACAGGATGAACACCCAATTCCAGCCTCCTGGGAGGAGACATAATAGGAAAGTCAAATGGTTGCGACTGTAATGACCACAATGAGATGGAAGGCATGTGCAGCAAAGTCACGTGAGAGAAGAGAAGGTAGGCTGGTAGAATGAAACAACTCTAAAAATTGTGAGAGTTTTTCAAAATTAGATTTCATCTTGGGGCTTCACTTGAAAATCTAGTTATGAACTTATTTGGAAGTATTAGAGCTATGGTCAAAATATTTTTCCAGTTAGTCCTGTTGTGGCTTTAAGGAGAGATTAAACTGCAAGAAAAGAAAAGCAAATTGTTACTTAGGACAAGATACTGGCTAACCTAGACAAGAACCCAAAACTTTGCTAACCTACAAGCTTCTTAATTGAGTGCTAGAGAATTACATAATTACCCTGTAGTGTCTGAAGTTAAGGTGAAAGTTCCTTTTTATTTACCTGTCTCCCGATGGTTTTAGTGTTAAGAGGCTACAAGGAGCACTGGTAGGTGGGAATGACTACATTTTTTCCAACAGCACAGTGTAAGCATTTGGCTTCTACCTGCTTCTCCTAAGAGATATACAAAGTTCCAACCTCCCAGTTTCAGGTATATATTAGTCTCTGCACCTCAAATTTTAATTCCCATTCTGAGTTAAACTATACTTGGCCTATGACTTGAAATCTAATTCCAATTTATAGATGAGGTCCAAAGATCCATGTTAATCTACCTAAAAACTCATCAGTTTGGAAAGGACAGAAACAGGAATCTGATGTAGACAGATAAGTCTGTTAAGTTGTAGTGGTGTTTACGAAGCAGTCAAGATTCCTTACTGTGAACAGCAAGAAACAACTTTTTCCCTCTTTTTGGACTGCAGGGAATAATCAAATCACATCCTACTACTACAGAGTTCAGAGGGCACTACTGAAAGATGTGAACAATGGGTGAACTCCTCATTTATCAACAGAATTCATAGATTTGACAAATGGTTTCATTTTTTAGTTGGCAAAATGCTCTAAAAACATATGCCTAATGTGTGAAGAAAACCACAGAAAGCCAATATAACTGAAGGCGTTCTCAGTTACAATTCTGAGACAGTTATCCTCTGTTGGGTGCTGCCGATACTACCATTCATTCTCGAGCAGGCAGTTGCCAACACCTTGCCTGCAGCGTCCAGTGTATGTTCTGGTCTGCAGTTTGCAGGTCAGTCACAGCCCAGTGTGGGGAGCTGCAGCCACGCAGTCAGAGGAAGTGCTCAGGAGGTGGTGAGGGCAGGGCTGCCTGCTCACCGCATCTCTCCACTTCATCCTAGGCTCTCCTCTCGACTCAGAGAGCCCTTTGGCACCATCAGTGCAAAAATTAGAGTCAAACCTCCAGGTACTAAAGTTTTACTGGCCTTATATTCAGCAGTACCCGCAGCTAAGGATAGCCATGGTTCAACTCAGTAGTGATTCAGTTAGATAACCTTCCCAAACTTCACCCACTCCCACCCCACCCTTCCTTAGCAATCCCCACCCCTGCCACCATCTGAAGCATTTCCATTGGCTTGTTTTTACTTCCTGCTCAATCGGCAGGGATAATTTTACACAAGTGCCAAAGTGTAATGTATAATTATAAAAATGAAACAATACCAAGAATAACAAATTTATAGTCAAGAAAATAAAATTTGCTTTCCTCTCCCTCCCAACTCCCAAACCCTCAATAGAAAAGACAACAGAAGAAAACACACCCATTTTCAAGTGCCTGCTATTTAGTACATTGAGGATTCCTGTTAATTGGGGGTTGATCCCAGCCACAGAGAAGAGGTGCTTGCCTCAGGGCGGGAGGAAGCCCATCTGCTCTCTGACCACCTGGGCAGCACACAGCTCAAGGCCTCTGCACAGCCAGCCACAGGGCAGCCTATGCCTTTGGGGTGCCCTGCAGAAAGGCAACCTCCTAGACAGCAGAGGGCATGGAATACAGTTCAGTGAAGGCAAGAAGTTCCTCCCTTCCGCTTCTTACCTCCTCTTCTTCAACTCTTTACCCAAACTCTAAATACCCCATTCCTGACCTCTTTGCTTCAGGAGCAGTTGATCCTTGGGTGTACTAAATACAAAGGGCTAAAACGCTCACTACTCAAGGAAAACAAAATGAGGCAAATAAAAATTAAAATGTGCTTTCAAATACGGAATGAAGTCAAATAAATACATCTGATTTTCTCTTTGTTTTAAGTCTAAGTACAATTTCATATCCTACACCCAAAGCTCTATACATTTGGTTTTCGTTCTGAATCAAAATGAATTTCCAACAGTGAGGAGAGGAGAGTGAGAGAATGGATGTCCCCTCCCTGACAGACTTCGTGCAGCTGCCAGACTGTGAAGACCAGTCCCACTCTGGGCACCTTGGGACACGGCTAAACCCACGTGGTTCACAGGCAGGTCCTCTGTCACACACTCTCTCCGCGTCCACACTTGGAGCCAGGATGCAATGGTACAAGGCTGGTGCTCAAATCCAACAACCTGTAGTCACCTCCAGGACACGCAGCTCTAACTCTTATCTGAGAAGAATGAAGATATGTGGAAACCAAATTAAGAAGGAAAGATAAATTGACACTGCAGAGTTCCTGTGAAATCTATGGGCATGGCTCTATGTCTGTTTTGTGAATCAAAACAGCCCCACTGAAAAGGATGCAAACAAATGAGCACGAGTACAAGCTGGTGGACTAAACACAGACCTGTCTGCCGACGAGGGGAGATGCTGACCTCATGGTCAGGGGCACGGAATGGAAGGGTGAGACCTGAAGATGACCCACCCTCCACACCAGGGGTTGCGGCAGCACGCACGTGCCTCACGTGGCCTCCGCCATTTTCCAGGCTTCCCAACACTCTGCCTTCCGCTTTTGAGAGGGCAGAGAGAGAGCCGAGGGGTGGCACGGGAACTGTCAACTGCAGTTCCTCTTTGAGAGGAAGAGCAGAGTCAGCAGGCAAGAGCTCTGTTGCCCGATGATGTTTACAGACAGCAGTTTTTTAAAAACAGAAAAGAAATAGAATCTCAGAAGGTATTCCCTTTAAAGAACAATAAATCACACATTCAGTGGACTGCTTAGGCAGAACAGCTAGCCTTTGGAGCACACACTTTTCACATACCTGAGTGCTTATCTGCGAGGGCTGATCCAGCCAGCCTTTGGCAAAGAATGGTGTAACTTTCTTCCACCTTCTGTAAAACAAAACCCATGGGTTGGGGAAATAAAAGAAAAATTGAACACAGAAAAGGCCTTTTAATATTATAGGTACATGCTCCCCAATTTTGACATTAACAACACTGAAAATTTTGTCCAGGGGACGGCAAATTTCATTCATTTGACCTACTTCTTTGAATGAATGAAACTTTTTCATGTAAAAAGTACAAGGGGTGATCAGTGAAGGTGATTCTCCCACCCCAAGAGTTACCCAGAAAACAGTCCCATATCATGTGGCACGGACTAGACGAGGGCCCGCCTGCCCACGTGGCATTTTGGTTATCTCTTCTCATCAGGCACTGGATGACGCCACATATAGTCAGACGAAAGGAGGAAACACTAGCACAGTAAGTGAAAATGAAAAGAAGACCAGTCTTTGGCTAAAAGGATAAGAACACTTTTAAATCTGTCCCTAGAGGCAGGCATTTGGAATACTGTTTATAATGTCAGTGAAGATGCCCATATCCCACAGTAAAGTAACAGGGCCTGACACCTGGCTCCAGTTCCTCACTCCAGCTTCCTGCTAATGCAGGTCCTGGGGGGGCAGCAGGCGATGACCCAAACACTGGGGTCCCTGCCACCCACATAGGAGACCTGGACTGAGTTCCCAGCTCCCAGCCCTGGCCAGGTCAGGCCCAGCTATTGCGGGCATGTGAGAGTGACCAGCAGCTGGGAGCTCTCTGTTTCTCTCTCTCTCTCTCTCAAATAAATAAATTTAAAAAGAAAAAGAAATTTGTTTGTAAGCCTTTCAACTAAATGGCATCATGAAGAAAATGTTTGTGCTCTAGCAGCTGTGTCTACCAAAGCAAACAGAGCGTGCTCTTCTCAGAAATTGCCACAGAAATCAGTTTTCAAAGAGAACTTCAATTACCAATTTACAAAAATCCCATTCGTACTCAGGCTTTTGAGATTATAGGAGCCACTGAAGCCACTTTCTGTCTGTCACAGCATCTGGGAAACCACCAACTTTACCTGGCGAGTCACAGATAATTAACAGGAGATAGCGGGCACAGCATTGCCCAGACTAGATTCTTAGCTACACGAACCCCACTTAGCCCCCTTACCGTTCCTATTATCCCACAGAGGCCAGCCAACTTCCCCAGGCAGTTTTAGGCTCTTAAAGTTAGAAATTCACCCAAACACACTGTTTGTAGAGCTATAATGTTTTCTGTCACAAGATAAACGATGCTGACATTGCATTTTGTCCACGCCTATTCATGGATATTGCTCAAATAAACATACAGATCTAGAACCTGAACAAGGCTCCGACGCTGGCATTTCAGTAACCCCACACTCCCCTCTGTGAAATGCACTTTAGAATCAACTCTTAACATGTTTAAGTGTGAGGTACCTTTAAGTGTTCAAGGTCAGCCTCTATCTTATGAATGTACTCCATGATCAGGCTGTGTGAATCTGCACAAGACAGAGGACTCTGGATCTCAAAACAGGAATCCTCCATAGCTCCCCAGCGCTGCTGGACCAGGAATTCTGGGCTGAAGGGTGAAACGGCCTCCTCAGAATAAGCATTTTGGGGCGAATGCTGCTGCGGGTAGGGAGAGTCTGCAGAGGGGATGCCTGTGGCAGGCTGCAGGGCGAGTGAGGAGGCGACCTCCTCGTCTGTAGAGCTCTCCTGCATGAGTTCATAGCCATCAAGGATCAGACAGGTTCCTGTCAACAGAGACAGAGCACTCTGATGAGATCAGTGCTGCCCTCAGAACCAGAGCAGGAGGTAGGAGGCTGACAACTTGCAAAGCTATTAGACAGGAGGAAAAGATATTAATTCCTAAGTTTAGGTTTAAGCACATCAGACAGGTCTCTCACTTCAGATTAAAAGTAAACTGAGCCAACATTCATAGCCATTTCTAAGTAATTTCATGTAAGCATTTTGAAAGCTTAAAGCTGGAAACCTCAGTCTCTACGTGATCTTGCTACCACTTCCCCTGTCATTACCTCTCGTCTCACCTCCTGCCATCTTCTCCCTCACCCCACAGACCGTAACTACGAAAACCTTCCTATGATGTCAGCCCACTCTGCTCTCTGCAGGAGCTCTACTCCCAGGTATCCAGGTGGCTTTCCCTCACCTTAATAAGGTCTCTGCTGAAACACTACATGGCAGAGCACCTCCGCTGCCCTCGTTCCTTTCTGCCCTTAGCCCGACCTAGTCTCCCTAATTTCTCACTATCTGACATTCGTTTGTTTCCTATTTCTCTTTCCCCTCCTAAGTACTTAACCTTAATGAGATTAGGGATCTTTTCTTTTTTCCATTTTATTTACTGCTGTATCTCACAGCACCTAGCATGAGGTCTGATGTAAACTCAGTAAATATTTATTGAATGAAGGAAAAAATAAATAATACACACACACACACACACACACACACATATAATGCTTGATTATCAAAACAACATCAATTTCAGCACACAGGACACTTTAACAAGGATCAAAATCAAGTTGAAATGTGAAAGAAACTTGCCTGAGATGCGTAAATTAACATCCTTCTCTTCCTTTTTAACTGCTCCATCACCTTCTGATGGATTATCATCACTATGTGCTTCACGGGCATCAAAAAAGTGCTCTCCACTCTCATCAAGACCCCCTTCTGGCTCTGTGGTAGGCATCTCTGGGGTCATAATCATGTGGTCCATTACTAAAATGCTACTTGCCTGGCTATCTTGGGATGCCAGTACCACTGAATCCCGTGGAGCAGAAGATTCAGTTGAAGTCCGTGGACTGTAACAAGTTGCAATGTCACCAGTTCCAGTTCTAACGGGTATCTGTCCTTCACCAGGGTGATACGCCTGAATATTTTCAGAGTTCTGGGTTCCACTGTCTGCCTGAGCCCCCCGAGAGGCTGTCCTCTGTCTTGGGAAATGTTGCCAGTCTTCCTGAGTGCTCTTCTCAGTCAAACCCAGCTGTTGTGCCAGCAACTGCTTCAACAAACCCACTAAAATTTTTAGGAAGGGTAGAAGAAGAAAAAAAACAACAAATTTGCAGCTAAAATCTCAGACTGCCAGAAATAAATTAGTTAGCTGAATTATCAATTATCTCTAATCAGGTATCTTTTACTAACATACAGCCAAAATATTAATTTCATGCCATCGTTTTTTAATTTTGCTTTGAAAACTAGAATAAAGCACCATCTTCCAGAAAAGACACTAAACTAGACTAGAAACATCTAGCATTTTGAATAGGGAAACACTCTTATTAGAACTCCTAAAAATACAGTGTGTGCTTCTCTTTTTTTCTGCCATTTAACTAGAATAATACTCCAAAGGTCTTGGGGTGTTGAAATACCCCAAAGGTATTTGAGAGGCTGTCTTAAGCTAGATGATAAAAACCAAAAAGTTCTGCCTTTTCTAGAAGCAGACACCATATGCATAGGCATATTTTTTCTAATTTTATTAGACATTTAGAGCATTTACTTTATTACACAATCTCTCTAAATGGTGAAGAAGGAAATAAAACTGCCTCCTAATAAAATTTTAATTCCAATAATTTGGTAATACATATAATTTCAAGGCATAAGGAAATATTTATCAGTTTTTAAAAAAATTACCTTCCTGGTGGCAGTTTCTTTTACTTTGTTGAAATAAAGATCAATTTAATTTTAATGGCCAAAGTACATGCTATGAAGTCACTCACACAGTAACAGCTACTGGAGCAATGCTAATAGGACCACAGAAATCACCGAGACTGCTAACTCCAGATGTTACTGAAGACACTGAGCCAATCCCCCAGTTTCATCAGGACGTGATTTGTTTCTTTAAGTATCGGTTCCTACCCCGGTATCAGTCTCTGACCCTCTTCTGTTCTGCACTCACTTACTCACAGATGTTATGGGTTTCTATGACTTTGACACTCAAATCTCTTTTCTTAATCACTTTTCAAAGTTGCAGTGCGAACACCCCAACTTCCTGCTAATCACTTCCTCTTGAATGATTTGCCATCCATTAACTTAATCCCAACATGCTTTAAAACTGAGCCCATAATCTCTGCCAAACAAAAAAAGGGAAAAATGAAGTGCAGTAGCAGGAGATGACAGAGCCACTGGCCGTCCTTCCTAACTCTTATTTCTGGTGAGAAGCTGCAGTTATCTCTAAACATACCCTTTCCTTCACCCTCACATCCATAGAAGTCAACTGTCTTAAGTCATTGTTGGCTCCTTGCTTTATATTTATTCCTTCCAACACCATTTTAGTTCAAATACTTTTAGTCTCAAGCCCAGACTACTACAATTGATGCCTTAGTAAATGCACCACTTCAAACTTCTATTCAAATCCTTGCACGGCTTGATCTTTTTTCCTTAGTCACACTCTAGCTTAAAAATTTCAAATGCTTCCATGCAGTTAGAGCAATTTTTCTCAGACTGTTCCCCATCGTGGTACAGATGAGAGATATGCTATCCTCCCATGTGGACCAGTGATTCTCAACCAGGTTGGGGTAACGAGGCAGCTAACAGTGGGGTGTGTGCATGCATGGACACGTGAACATCTGTGTATGCACATGTGTGTGGCACACATAACCCATGGTGGAGAATACTATATATACACAAGAAAGCCAGAGGAATATTTATCAGTCCAGAAAAGTCCTCAAAACACTGTAAAGTTCCATACTTAAAGTTTGGAAGACCCAATTTGGTATTCAAAGTTCACCACAGCTGGGCTCAGGGACACATCTGTATTTCCAACCTCATCACCACACTTCAACTTACAGGGTCTATCACGGGCTACCATTCCCTGAGTAAACTCAGCTTCCGCCGCTGTGCATCTAGCCCTGCCATATTCTATTCTTCTGAATCTTATCTACCCATCAAGAAAATAATCATCTCTTTCTCTTGTTCTCTGATGTCTCACTTCTCTGGTCACCCCACTCAGATCAATTGTGATATAACTACACTGTTAGTATTTGAGTGTTTACATCAAAAGGCAGGGATGGCAGGGGTGGCTGGGGCATGGGACTGCAGAGGGGCTTGGGTTGGGGGAGAGTTCCTATCACCTTCCGAACTAGACTGTAAATTTCTGAAAGGGAGAAGTCATACCTTATACTTCTTTGAATTCTCCCTAAATGGCTGTTCAGTACATTATCCAACTCTGGTACTTAGTAAGTACCTGTAATAAGTTATGAATAAAACTTACAATTCCTTAGTGCATCCAAAGCCCACCGTTCTTCTGAGACAGACAAGTGTGAATCTGGGATTGTGATTTGATAATTTACTCCAACGTCCTTTAGTGTTCCATCTGTATTCCGTTCCTTTGCAAATTGTCTCTCAGTCACAAAGAGATCATCTACCTCTGATTTCCCAGAAGTAATCAGTGAATGAGACTGAGGTTTTGATGATATTAAGGAAGATTCTAATCCCAAATCTCTGTCTATTCAAAAGAACAGAAAAGGCAGAATATATCTTAATAAAACTTTTAACATAGAAAAAATAATCACAGAAACTCAGAGGTCATCTGTTAAGTAAAATATGTGGCATTTCAACTAATTATGCTGGCACTCAGAAAGCACATAAGCCAAGTTTCTTAACCTAGAGCCAGAATCTGCATCAACTATGAGAGTTTTAAAGTTTCTTTGCATTTCAATGGTTAATAGACTATATTCTTCCAGTAAAGTTAATAGAAAGGTTTACCTGGACTCTGCAGACCAGTGACTGAAATGCTATGATGTTCCACTTTTAATTTTGGAGGTTCTTCTTCATCATTGTCTCCTCTGCAAGAAAAACAATAATAATCATTTGGCTTCATGAAGTTCTAAACACCACTGTGACAGAATATAAAAGTTATCCACTTCTTTTCAAACCAAAATCATAACATAAGTCCTACCACAAGGCAAAGCAACACTCACTCGCAAGGTGGAGACTCTGATAATGGGATTGGCTTTGTGGACTGCTCCTTCACTGATGCAGCCATCCGACAGATGAGGTCCTGCCAGCTTCAGGAAGTTACAAAGGAACCCAAAGCACAAAAAGGAAAGGAAAAAAGAAATACCCTTTGAACATACTCAGAAAGCAAAATTAAAACCAAAAAAAACCAGGAACCAAACCAACCAGCCAGAAACAAGCAAATATTAAAAAACAAACAAATAAAAAACCCCAATCCACCGAGAGCATCTTGATTTTGGCAACACTCTGTTAGGTGCAGATTCCAGAACTCCATCTTACAGAAAGACCTAGTAATATTGTGGTTCACTGTCCATGACAAAACTCCAGCTAATGCATGTGAGATTAGAAAAGAACAGAATAGAATCAAATACAAATAGAACCAAAGTAAAAGGTATCAATTTAAAAAGGAACAAGTTCTTAGAGGAATATTGCTAGAAAAATACAGAAGAACTGGTCACTTTCAAAATAGTTCTCGTTTTCAGAGTCCTTTTATAAAAGCAAAGTTACGTTTCTGGAATATTAGACTTGGAGTAATAAAGTGCTAGAGCACGAAAGCTGTGTATAATACGTACACAGTCTTTTCAGAAACTGTCTGTGCCACCAGTTCATAAATTTGGGCTCCATTGTCGGACATGGAGATGACAAATAAAGCTTTGTTATCTGGAAAAAACAAGACAAGACAAAAATTACTCTACCATCTATGAGAGGCCATGAGGGAAATTTTAGGGTCCTGGTATAGTGTGTATCTTAATCTAAACAAAGGTTACACATGTTCACTTCGTAAAACTTCATCAAATGATACACTTCAAATACGTGCAATTTACTGTTATGCTGTATATTTTATACTTAAATAAAATGAAGATTATAAAAATTAGCAATTATTCCACAGTAATTTGTTTAAAAAAGTTAAAATTTACATTTCTGGGGCAGGCATTTGGCCTAGAAATTAAGTCACTCACTAGTTGGGAAACTTGTAACCTGTATCAGAATGCCTAGCTTATTGTCCGAGTGTCACTCCCCATTCCAGCTTCTTAAATATTTATTTATTTATCTATTTGAAAGTCAGAGTTATGCTGGGGGGAGGGGTGAGGGTGAGAGAGAGAGAGAGAGAGAGAGAGAGATTGAGATCTTCCATCTGCTTATTCACTGGCTCAACAGGCAAGGCTGGGCCAGGTCAAAGCCAGGAGCTTCATCAGTATCTCCTATATGGGTGGCAAGGGTCCAGAGACTTGGGCCATCTTCCATTGCTTTTCCCAGGCCATTAGCAGAAAGCTGGATTGGAAATGGTGCAGCCGGGACATGAACCGGCACTCAATGGGATGCCAGTGTTGCAGGCAGTGCTCTCCTTCTGCACCACAAGGCCAGCCCCCATGGCCCCGCTTGTTACTGATACACATCCTGGGAGGCAGCAGTGACGGCTCAAGTAACTGAGTTCTTGCCACCCACGTGGGAGATCTAATCTGAGTTCTGGGTTCCTGGCTCTGGTGTGGCCTAGCTCTAACCATTGTTGGCAGAAGAAGTTCCTGGCTCCTGGCTTCAGACTGGTGCAGCTCCAGCCATTGTGGCCAACTGGGGAGTAAACCAGCAGTTGGAAGACCTCTCTCTCTGCCTCTCCTTCTCTCTGTGTAACTGACTTTCAAATAAATAAATATTTTTAAAAATACAAATTACTGAACACTATTATTCTATCGCATTTATTTTAAACTACCCTTTTGTTAATTAATAGTAATTTGCTATCAAGGAACCAGCAATGTTTAAAAGGTATCACCTTGTTAGTGCCATTAAAATATAACTTGCCTACTTTCTTCAGTTTTCACTAAGTCAAAAACACACTACCCTAACAAAAGCCTTTTAATGGAGATTACCTCTCAAGGCACTGTCTTCATTGGAATCTATCAATAATTTGAAGATGGAATAAAAGACCAAAGGAACTGTACAAAAATTTTCAAATGCAGAAAATGACTCAGAATTTAGACATCCGAAATATTTCTGTACTATAAACTCCTTTAATTCATTTTCTAAATCGTAAATAAACTCCATGCAAGTTGCCTAGAAATCTAAATCAACAAAAAGTTTCATGCCTGTTATGCTACTTAAACAACACTATCTCCTACACCCTTATAACAAATCTGGAGGTTATCACTCCTCAATGGATGTACCTACCTGTTGCCACCTGTCGAACCAGCACTGTATTCAACTTAATGACAGGGCTAAACGTGTGTTTGCTATCAGCTGTGGAAGCTAGAATCTTACTGTGACACCTTAACACCAGTCTATCATCCTGTTTTTGTAACAATACAAGAATGTCTTCCAGCAGCAATGTATACAGATCTAGAAATTAAAATGCAGGAAAGATGGTAAGTACAGAAACTGAGATTTGTTTAATAAACTTTATAACAATTCAGCAGAGAAACTTCATTTGTTATTAAACCTAGTAATTAAAAATTGACTTGTATACTTTTTACAATTTCATGTAAGTCCTGTTTACTGTATTTCACAAAGTGTCAGTCTATGACTAATAGCAAATTAACAAAACAGTTCCTCTTCACAGATTGTTTGAGATCTACTGGTCTAAAGAAATCTTACAAAGACTCATTAGAACACAATAATGATGGAGACAGGACTCAATCATTACAAAGTTTTCTGCTCAATTCCTTAATGAATATTTAACACACTTCCCATGTAACAAAACAGTACAGCAAATCTTCCAAAAGGTTCTCACTTCTTCACTTTGGCATACAGAAGCATCCCTATTTTCCTTTCTCTGTTCTATCCAAAATCGATGAACAACATCAGACCTACCAATAGTTTTATCTCTATTCACCTTCCAAACCAATGGCCCTTCATGAATCATCTTCCTTTTTGTTAAGTCCAAATTCTGCCAAAATAAAGAGAATCATGTGCAAATTATACCTAAGCACTCAGTGAAAGAAAAATCTGCAAAACCATTCTTTTCAATAAATTCTTATAGAAAAGATAGCATTTACATTCAACTCTCAGTATTGCATCAGTTTTATTTAGTTTTAATTGGAGAAGCAGACAGACAGCGAGAGACAGCTCCCATCCACTGGGTCATTCTTTAAATGCCTGACACGCAGAAGCCAGGACCTCAATCCAGGCTCCCACATGGATGGCAGAAACAGTTACTTAAGTCATCATTGCTGCCTCCTGGTATCTGCATTAGCAGGAAGCTGGAATCCAGAGCTGGAGCTGGGACCCCCACGTCCTCTGATACGGGAGACTGGGCATCTTAGCCTATGATTTAACTATTAGGTTGAATGCTCATCCCTACCTGTCAGGTCTTAATAAAGACCATGTTAAAATAAACTGCATACAATTTTCTGAAAAGGAAAATGTATCTTATAGAAAATATTCAGCAGTACTAGTATTACCTTCAAAATCTCACTCTAGATAGGTAACAGTTTAGGGAAAATGAAGTTACAGACATTCAGCCACTAGACTCTCAAGCTATCCTTAATTCTTCTATGAATAAGTGGATGAAGATGATGCAAAATACTCCTCTGCAAGAGGCCTCTGAGGTCTAAGACTCTAATTCCCAAGAAGATTCTAAGAAACAGCACTCATCACACAAGGACTACTCAGGCTTGTTCTAAATATTAGTAACTTAGTAGTAAGAGATTCATCTTTTAGTGTTAGTAGCTCTAGAAAAATCTCATTCTTTGGATGTTAGACATGCTTTTTGATAAATTGTTACCTATGACCCAAATGTTCATTGTAAACAGCTAACAAATAAACCTGTTGTAACAACCACCCAGTGAAATGGTACAAAAATGAATTAAATTCCTAAAAAGTTAGTTAATATAAAAGTCCAAGTACTGGAAGTGGCAATTAGTAAATATTTACTATCACTTCTGTAATAGTTTCAACTTTTATGTTTTTTAAGAGCTTCACTGGAAAATAACTAAGCTTACTTTACTCAAGATCTGGGAAGTTCTTATAGTAAATAGTCTTTCTTTTATTCAAACTAGAGAAGGTGGTAAAGTTAAACTTAATAATAACCAGTATTCCTTAGCAGCCTGCAAATTCCTGACATGTAAAGTTTCTGTTTCACATAAAATATTCCTCTAATGAAAGACTAAAAGAATCTTTCACACACATTAAACATTCAAAAGTAGAATAAAATCCTAACTACAGATAATCTGATTCAGAAACTTCCTGTTCAGGTGATACATATCCCCCTGAGATGTTAATTACCTGCCAGGTCTTTAGTACATTTTATTTTTTAATTATGATTAGACCATCTCTCACCCTGAGCTCTTCCACATTTGGGTACTCTGACAACTTCAGATTGGAGGTATCAAGACGGCGCTGATAATCTTCTAAGCGCTGGAAATCAGGATGGAGTCAAGGTTACTACTTTGGTCATCAATGATCTGTTTCTAAAGCAAATGGACATTTTTAATCTGCATTTTGCTGAGCTCTCTATAATACTAGACATGACTGACAACTCCCTCTTTCTGCAAATATCTCTTCCCTTGGCTTTGGAAATACTACACCCCTAGTTTTCCTCCTACCTCTTTGGCTGTTCTTTCTCAATCTTCTTTTCAAAGCACAAAATTCAGGAAGTCATGTAAAGCACATGAAGAAACACTGAGGTTCACTTCATCCTTGTCCTCTCCTCACCACCCAATTTTCTCTAAAGAAATACTCACTCCGCCTTGCGGCGCCGGCACACCAAGTTCTAGTCCCGGTCGGGGCGCCAGATTCTGTCCCGGTTGCCCCTCTTCCAGGCCAGCTCTCTGCTGTGGCCCGGGAGTGCAGTGGAGGATGGCCCAAGTGCTTGGGCCCTGCACCCCATGGGAGACCAGGAGAAGCACCTGGCTCCTGCCATCAGATCAGCGCAGCGCGCCGGCCGCGCCGGCCATTGGAGGGTGAACCAACGGCAAAAAGGAAGACCTTTCTCTCTGTCTCTCTCTCTCACTATCCACTCTGTTTGCGTGCCCAGCTCTTTCCTCCCTCTCACTGGGATTCCAGGACGCTCACTCATACTCATTTCCTAGGTAGGCTTTGAGAAAAATCCTATGCAAATAAATATATGTATAAGTAAGTATGCTTGTTTCTGTGCATTGTGTGTATGTGTGTCCTTTTAAAAAACAAGCTATGACAGCATAATACACACTCACGTAAGGATTCCTGTGTGTGTGTGTGTGTGTGTGATTTAACCAATACATCTTGCAGACTATTCCATATTACCACACATAGAAAGCAGACATTTTTCTAAACAGCTGCATCATACTCAACTCTGTAAATGAACTATAATTTAACTGTACCTTATTGATTGATATTTTTGTTGCTTCCAATCTTAGCACATAATAAATACCTTAATAAAATGGCCTTAAACACTTGTCTTTGTATAGCTATACAAATTTATCTGCAGGATAAATTTCTAAAACTTTCGGATCAAAGGCAGGTGCATTTTCCTCCAAAATCATAAAAATTTCCAAATACAAGAAAAAGTTTGAATCTATATATTGAACATCTATATAACCATCACCTATACTCCCCAAGTAATATTTGCTATATTTGTTTTATTATATATCTATTCATTTATTCGTACTTTTATCTATCCATCATTCCATCTTATTTACTGGATGCACTTAAAAACAAATCTCAGCTATAAGTATACTTTAGGCTTAAACATTTTAATACGCATATCATTAACAAGAGTTTGATATTTATGATTCTTTTCAGAAGTAAATTTACACAGTGAAATTTACATATTTTAAGGGTACTTTTCCATGAATTTTGACAAATACATACACCTGTGCAACTCAAACTCCTATCAAGATATGAAGCACTACCATCACTCCAGAAAATTCCCTCATATATTTGCCAAGTGAATCTTTACTCCCAAGTTCCCAGGCACTATTACTTTTCAGGTATTTTTCCTAGCACAGATTAGTTTTCCCTCTTCGAAGTTCACAGAAATAGAATTACATTTATGTAAGTCTTCTGTGTCTAGTTAAACTCAGCATAATATCTGTGATATTTGTTTATCAGCAATTAATTCCTTTTTATCACTGGTAGTATTTTTTTTTTTTTTTTTTTTGACAGGCAGAGTGGACACAGAGAGAGACAGACAGAGAGAAAGGTCTTCCTTTGCCGTTGGTTCACCCTCCAATGGCCGCTGCAGCTGGCGCGCTGTGGCCAGCGCACCACGCTGATCCGATGGCAGGAGCCAGGTACTTATCCTGGTCTCCCATGGGGTGCAAGGGCCCAAGCACTTGGGCCATCCTCCACTGCACTCCCTGGCCACAGCAGAGAGCTGGCCTGGAAGAGGGGCAACCGGGACAGAATCCGGCGCCCCGACCGGGACTAGAACCCGGTGTGCCGGCACTGCAAGGTGGAAGATTAGCCTAGTGAGCCACGGCGCCGGCGTAGTATTCTATATAATGACTAAACTTAGTAGTTGGTTTATCTGCTCTTCTGCTGATGAATTCTTGAGCTGTTCCCAGTTTCTGGTTATTGTGAATAAGGCTGCAATAAACATTCTTGCAAAAGTTAGTCTGTGGGCATAGATCTTTATTCTCAAGAGTTAATCACTAGGAAAAGAATTGCTGGTTAAGGGGTAGATATACAGATATGTACACTTTTAATTTGGGTAAATATGGCCAAATTTCCCTCTGTGTTTTTAATCATTTTACACCCTATACACCACATCTGAAAGTATCTGTTTCTACATCATTACAAACATACTGAGTTCCTAAAAACTTACATCTGTGTTCATGGATTCAATTATTCTCTGTATGCTCACAATCTTAAATTTTTATCTTCAGCATAGCCTTCCCAGAGGCAGCCAACTGCGCACCTCCATTTGATGTTCCCAGCTGAACTCCCATCTTCCCCCAAGTCTGAGGCTTCTCCCTTCCTTCACTCTGTCCATCCAAACATGTAAGCCAGAAACTTGGGAGTTTACTCTGGACATCACCTCTCCTTTAAATCTAAGTCAGTCACAAAGCCCTGTCAATCTTACTTCCTAAGTACTTCTGCAATCCATGCATTTCTGCCCACGCTCATCTCTTCTGGACTGCTGCAATGGATAACTACGTGGGCCCTTTCGCCTCCCATCTTCCTCCCCCAAACCACTCTCCACAGAGTAGCAGACGTAATGTCTTAAATGTCCTTAATGAATTCCTGCTGCTCTTAAAATCAAAATCTTTAGCCTCACTGCAAGGGCCCTGTGTGATCTGGTCCCGGCTTCCTTCACCTCACTTTGCATGCTGAATACCACACTGACTCTGCTTCACACGAGCATGATCCTTTACTTTTTCAATTCCTCAAACAGACCACACTTTGTTTTTACATCAGGAGTTTGTATAACTGTTCCCTCTACCTTTGGGTCTATCTCCTTCCACCTTGTTTTGGTTAATTGTCACTCATCCTTCAGAGCTTGGCTCAAATTTCAAGTCCTAAAGAAGCTTCCTCTGACAGCCACAAACTAAACTGAAATTGTCCTGCAGAGGAGCTGTCACAACTGACACAAAATACCTGTGCTATAATCTGTTAAACACCTTTTTAACTTGCTAGAACACATGGTCAGTGTGGGCAGTTACTGTGCTCATTTTCTTACTCTCTATCCCTGTGCCCAACACAGAGTGGATGCTCTGTCTCTGTAAATTAATGAGCAAACTAACAGTGAGAGATGCTCAAAAGAAGCCAAATACCATTCTGATATACTACTGCAAATTGATCTGGACTCTCCTTCCATGAAGAGTTAAGAATTGCCCCACCCATCAATTCTGTGATGAGAGTTTCAATTATTATTTTACAAATTCCAGGTAGCACTAACTCATGACTCTTCCATTGTCATCCTGCATCTTCCTGCTTCCTTTTTTTTACCTGCTTGTTTTCTGCCTCCTTGACAGCTTGATTTACATAATTTAAGATCTGACGACAGTGATCTGCAGCTTTCTTCACCTTCTCCCTTTCTGTTGGCCATTCTAAATATAGAGAAGAAATTCAAAATGTAAAATGCAAGAAATTAGGAAAAAAATATATATAATATAAATATCATTTTATTCAAATATTTATAAGGACATACTAAAACTTTGACTATTTTTCTATCAGGCTAAAACCTATGTACTCTTTAAGGTAGTCTATGGACAGTTAACTTTTTTGATAGCATTCTAAAACATAAATTTTAATCTTTAAAAAGAAATCACAATATAGAACTGCAAATCCAAGGGTGATGCTTTAGATAAATTTTCAGGGCCACTGTATTACACAACGCAGGGTGCAGGTCTTACTCACTTCTATAAGCTGTATAAATGTGACCTATCCCTCCTCCTAGAATTTCACACTGCATAGCTTACATGATTATGTCCAGTGGCCCTGTTAAGGGCCCTGTTAATATTTTTAATAACATAATTTTTTAAAATTCCAAAATAATTTCTTTGAATTTGAAATTATATTTGAAGAAAATGTATTGCAACATTGTATCAATAAAATTCACCTAAATGCACCATATCTATAATATAGAGTAAAAATATGATCAGCATACTCAAAATTGGGGCTGAGGTTGTGGCAGACTGCCAATTCAAGTCCTGGCTGCTCTGCTTCTGGTCCAGCTTTCTGCTACTGCACTCAGGAAAGCAGAAGATGGCCCCAGCACCTGGGACACGGCCACCCATGCGGGCAACCCAGATGAAGTCCCAGGCTCCTGGCTTTGGCTTGGCCTAGCCCTGATCACTACATCTATTTGGGGGTGAACCAGCAGATGGAAGACCACTCTCACTTTTTGTGTCTCTCCCACTCTGTCAGTCTGCCATTCAAATAAATATATATATCTTTAAAAAAACAATATTCAGAATTATAATCCTATAAACAACAGTCGAACTATACTGAACAGGCACATGTATTTTAAAATTATTTATTTATTTTATTTTATTTTAAAGGCAGACAGAAGGAGGAGAGAGAGGGAAGGAGAAGGAGGGACGAACCCAAGTGCTCCTAACCATTGGTTCATTCCCCAAATGCCCACAAAAGCCAGGGCTGGGGCAGTCCAAAGCCAAGAGCCAGGAACCCAACAACTTGAGCCATTGCCCGCAGCCTCCCAGGGTCTGCATTAGTAGGAAGCTGGAATAGGGAGTGGAGTCACTCCAAAATAAGATCCAGCCATCCAAAGTGGCATGATAACCACTACACCAAACACCTGATCCAAATGGGCATAGTAAAGTATAAAAATAAGTATGCATGAATGTAAAACCACTTCTGTTACCAACTACCATAATTCTGAATTTCCCAATTATGGATTCAAATTCTTGAACATAAGAAACAGGAATATGATTGCATAAAATTATTAACAGAAACTATTAGGAGCCTTAATCTCAACAGAGAAAATCAAATTCATGTTAAGTTTCAAAACAGGAGAGTGGAAATTATAATGCATTGGTTCAGCTATGTAAAAATATATACAAAGAGGCCGGCGCCGCGGCTCACTAGGCTAATCTTCCGCCTTGCAGCGCCGGCACACCGGCTTCTAGTCCCACTCGGGGTGCCGGATTCTGTCCCGGTTGCCCCTCTTCCAGGCCAGCTCTCTGCTGTGGCCCGGGAGTGCAGTGGAGGATGGCCCAAGTGCTTGGGCCCTGCACCCCATGGGAGACCAGGAGAAGCACCTGGCTCCTGGCTTTGGATCAGCGCGATGCATCGGCAGCAGTGCGGCGGCCATTGGAGGGTGAACCAACGGCAAAAGGAAGACCTTTCTTTCTGTCTATCTCTCTATCTGTCCACTCTGCCTGTCAAAAAAAAACACACACACACAAAGAAAACATCTCTTCAACTCAATACAAAACTGCTTCAAGGCAAATATAGTAGAGCACAGATGAGCAAACTTTTTCTGTAAATGGTCATATAGTAAGCTATTTTTCAAGCCAAACAGTCTGTATTACTATTACTCAATTCTGCTATTATAGTGAAAAAAGTCAGAGACAGTGCACGAACACATTTTTATTTACAAAAACAGGCAAGAAGCTGAATCTGGCCCACAGTCAACAGTCTGTCAAACTCTGTGTTAGAGCTACTAATGTACTACATTACATCAAACCACCTGAAGACTGGATTGTATCTTGTTAGAATAGCTTGCCATGCAGTGGAGGACGGCCCACGTGTTTGGGCTCCTGCACCCGCATGGGAGACCAGGAGGAAGCACCTGGCTCCTGGCTTCGGATTGGCACAGCGCCGGCCGTGGCGGCCATTTAGGGAGTGAACCAATGGGAGGAAGACCTTTCTCTCTGTTTCTCTCTCTATGACTCTAGCTGTCAAATTAAAAAAAAAAAAAAGAAAGAAAGAAAGAAAAGCTTGCGATGGTATTGTAAATCTAACTTCAGACATCAGGATACTATGAAAGATTATTTATCAGGGCAGTTTTGTTTCTTGTTCCTAAGCATTTTTGGGGAAAAAAATTCATTTATTTATTTATTTGAAAGGCATCACTTGCTTTCCCCCAGAGTGTACATTAGCAGAAAGCTGGAACTGGGAGCAGAGCTGGTACTGCAACTCAGGCACTCTGACAAAGGGTGTGAGCATGTCAAACAGTGTTTTAACCACTGTACCAAACACCCACCCTCCACCCCCAAGCTTTTTTATTTCAATGAGAATGCTGTACCGGTATATTTGGCAATATTATCCAACAGAAGTGGATACTTGGTAAGCCTCTGCATTTGAGTGGGAATGATATCCTTTAGCTGGAGACGACGACACAGAGGATTACTCTCAGCATCCTAAAAAAGAGAATGAAATAAGTAAATCTGCAAGTCTTATTAGGATTATGCTTACCTAAATATATACCATGTATTCATCATAAAGTATCTACAGCATTCAAATTCTAGTTACTAAATCAAAATATTTTTTTAAAATGCCATATCACTGCCACACCATACCTCTGCTTGTTCCTTTCACTGCATAAAGGTGGAAGGAATCCTTTATCATGAAACCAATGGCTTCTACTTTATGTGTTTAAGCAAGGACTGACAGAACCCATAGCGGACTCTAAGAACTGCTTTCTTTCATTAAAAGTTTTATCTTCTTCTATTCATAAAATCTAGGTATATTTTCCTATGGTTTGCATTCCTATCAAAAGGTTGTTAGCTAAATTGCTATCTATCATTCCAAATATGCGCAATAGATTACTAGTCTAGATATGTCAGCTGAGCTATATCAGAGGTCAACAAACTTAGTAAATACATTAATTTCATATGCCACAGTCTCTCGCACAGATGTGTAATTCTGCTCTTTTAGCCACAGGCAACACATAAATGAAGGAAAACAGCTCTGTGTAGTAAAGAACTCTAAGACGGCTTCTAAGACTCCCATTCTCTGGTATACAATACCATTCCCTTGGGTGGGGATGGAATCTATGATGGGCCATCACTCTTATGGCTAGGTTACTGCCAACTGACTTTAAGTTTATCAAAAAGCAGATCATTTGGGACTGACTTAATCAGAGGAGCTTTTAAAGAAATCCATGTGAGAGTAATGCATTCTCACTGGTCTGAAAGAAAGCAAGCATGCGCCTGTGAACCGCCTGAGGGCCAGAGGGCAGAGACATGGAGATTCTCCAGGAGGTGAGAACAACTGGAGGAAGCTGAGCACTTCAGTGAGCACTTCAGTGAGACTCTCAGTCTCACATTTTGACCATAATCTTTTAATTCTTTTTATAGATCATTTCCTGATAAAACTCTGTGGCAATGTAGATTTCTTTATCGTTTATTTTAATCCTGATATGTATTTTTCATCCTGATATGTATTTTTAATTATTCACAATTTCAAAATCATCTTTATACCTTCCAGCAATTTAAGGAAAAACATTCAAATTTTTAAAATTGTAAGACAGATGTAACCCTGTGAAAGGTTTATGAACTTCCCTGGTTTATTCTACAACTTACATTATTTTTTCCTTACATGACTCATTCAACTCACTTGTACAAAAGTCTGGAATCGAGAGTCCTTTTTCTGACGAGACTTGATCATTTCTAGGGCAAAAGGCTGGTTACTGCAAAAGGTGGCAGCGGCATGTTTCAGCTTCTCTTCTCCCGGTCCACTGAACTGTGCCAAGAGTACAAAGAAAACAACAGAGAACGGGATACTGAGCTTCTGTAAGGCCCAGAGAAATGGAAGGCAACCACATCCTTTCAGTGACTGTTCTCAAGAGACAATAAACACAGAGCTGCCTATCTGTGTGGATTATCAGTGGTTCTTCATGCAAAAGGTATGCCCCTGATACAATCAGACCGTTCTAGTTCATATTCCAATGTTTTCTTGCTGGCAGCCTACCACAACTTATTACCTTTCTATTCTATACCACTTCTAAGTTAGATAGAAAGGTTGACGTTTGGGAAATACAAGACATAAAATACCCACAGACTGAAATTAAATTTCATTTTTGTAGACCCTGACACTTTTACAAGAATTATTTTCTTACTGCTCCAGAAAGCAAATCCTTGAACACTAGTTTTTCTTTACTACTTATTAGGAAATTACAGGTCATAACTTTTCTGGGTCAAAATAAATCATTGCTGTTCACCCGGCAGAAACTGGGGATCTCTTTTGCTAAAAATCATACTTTATGCTAATATTTTAAAATTCTAGTTTATATATGTATGGTCATAATTTTAAACTTTCTAATAAAGTACCTAACAATTGTTTCACCATAATGAATGTGCCTTTACAAGTCAAATAAATTGCTTCTTAATACCACCTCTATATTTGTAAATAACTGTTGTAAGAGTTTTTTTATTGTTGTATGGTTTTTTAATTGACTTTCCATACACTGCTCCATTTAAAGCCATATTCCCAAAAGTTGGCACATGAAGACACTCTGCAAAAAGTCCTTTTGTAGTGCATTTGTAGATAAATTGTTTTTTTCTTCAAGGGCGATATACACACAGTGATGCTCTAAGAGGTCACTCCAATGGTGTACTCTTATTCTATTCTGACTCTGACACTCAGCATGTTTAAAGATGAGATTAGCAGCATTTTTGCTATGTCAGTCAAAGCACACCACAACTACAAAAAGCAGCTCGGCTTACAAAAGAAAATAATACTCTCAATTTCACATAATCCTACTACAGTTTTAGAAGTAGAGAACATATTCATGAGGTGATTTTTTTTCTTTTAAAGATTTATATATTTTTAAAGATTTATTTACTTATTTGAAAGGCAGAGTTTACAGAGAGAGAATGACAGATACAGAGAGAAAGAGATCATCCATCTGCTAACTTACTCCCCAAATGGCCACAACAGCCGGAGCTGGGCCAGGCAGAAGACAGGAGCTGGGAGCTTCATTTGGGTCTCCCATGTGGGTGGTAGGGGCCTAGCCGTGTGGGCCATCTTCCACTGCTTTTTCCAGCCATTAGCTGGGAGCTGGATCAGAAGTGGAGCAGCCAGGACTCTAACCAGCACCCATACTGGGATGCCAGCATTGTAGACAGCAGCTTTATCTGCTATACCATGACACTAAGCCTTAATAAGGTGATCTCAAGGAATCAAAACTAGAAACATACTCTCCAAAATTATTTTTTAAAAACAACAGGACTATGCCGGCGCCGCGGCTCACTAGGCTAATCCTCCGCCTAGCGGCGCCGGCACACCGGGTTCTAGTCCCGGTTGGGGCGCCGGATTCTGTCCCGGTTGCCCCTCTTCCAGGCCAGCTTTCTGCTGTGGCCAGGGAGTGCAGTGGAGGATGGCCCAGGTGCTTGGGCCCTGCACCCCATGGGAGACCAGGAAAAGCACCTGGCTCCTGGCTCCTGCCATCGGATCAGCGCGGTGCGCCGGCCGCGGCGGCCATTGGAGGGTGAACCAACGGCAAAGGAAGACCTTTCTCTCTGTCTCTCTCTCTCACTGTCCACTCTGCCTGTCAAAAAACAAAAAACAAAAAAAAACAAAAAAAAACAACAACAGGACTAGGCCGGCGCCACAACTCACTAGGCTAATCCTCCGCCTGCAGCACCAGCACCCCGGGTTCTAGTCCCGGTCGGGGCACTGGATTCTGTCCCGGTTGCTCCTCTTCCAGTCCAGCTCTCTGCTGTGGCCCAGGAAGGCAGTGGAGGATGGCCCAAGTGCTTGGGCCCTCATCAGCATGGGAGACCAGGAGGAAGCACCCAGCTCCTAACTTCAGATCAGCACAGCACGCCAGCCGTAGCAGCCATTTTAGGGGGTGAACCAACGGAAGGAAGACCTTTCTGTGTGTGTGTCTCTCTCTCACTGTCTAACTCTGCCTGTCCAAAAAAAAAACCAACAACAACAAAAAAACACCAGGACTAGATCTAAAGCCATATTTATCATTTTGGCTTTTAGGAATTCTGACAATGCTTTTCCTAAATTTACCTTTTTTAGTTAATAGTTACAAATCTTAGTAGTTAGTCCATTCTGTTTTCTTCAGCTTTTTATATGTATATCATGTTGATCAAGAAAACACTTTTGGGGACTGGTGTGTGAGACAGTGGATTAAGATGTTGCCTGCAATGCTGGCATCCTGTATGGATGCCAGTTCGAGTCCCTGCTACTCCACTTCCCATCCAGCTCTCTGCTTATGTGCCTGGGAAAGTGGCAGAAGATAACCCAAGTACTTCAGCCCCTCATCCACATGGGAGATCCAGATGGAGTTCCAGTCTCCTAGCTTTTTAGCTGCAGCCACTGTGCCCATTTGGGGAATGAACCAGTGGGTTGAAGATCTCTCACCCTCTCTCTTTCCCCTTCCCTCCCTCTAACTCTGCCTTTCAAATAAATAAATAAATTTTTAATAAATATACTTTTTTTATATGTTCTAAATGACATTTTTGTTCCATTCTGTTCATAGGTTTCTACAACCTATTTTACTATGTAGTAAATTTATACATTCTAATAGATTGTGATTAGAGGACTAATTACACTTTCTATCTTATTAATGATGAATCTCATTTGCCATTTAGTGTGCAACATTATTTACAGGAGATACAAATGAATCTGCCTAGTAATCAAGATGTGATATCTTGGGGCCAGCACTGTGTCCATAGTAGGCTAAGCTTCTGCCTATGGCGCTGGCATCCCATATGGGTGCCAGTTTGCGTCCCAGCTGCTTCTCTTCTTTTTCTTTTTTAAAGATTTATTTATTTGAAAGTCAGAGTTACACAGAGAGAGGAGGAAAGGTGCAGAGAGAGAGAGAGAGAGAGAGGTCTTCCATCAGCTGGTTTAATCCCCAGTTGACCCCAATGGCTGGAGTTCTGGTGGTCTGAATCCAGGAGTCAGGAGCCAGAAGCTTCTTCCAGGTCTCCCATGCGAGTGCAGGGGCCCAAGGACTTAGGCCACCTTCTACTGCTTTCCCAGGCCATAGCAGAGAGATGGATCAAAAGTGGAGCAACCAGGACTCAAACCACTGCCTACATGGGATGCTGGCAATGCAGGCAGTGGCTTTATCCACTTCGTCACAGCACCCACCCAGCTGTTCCTCTTCTGATCCAGCTCTCTGCTATGGCCTGGGAAAGTAGCAGAAGATGGCCCAGGTGCTTGGGCCCCTGTAGCCGTGTGGGAGACCTGGAAGAAGCTCCTGGCTCCTGGCTTCAGATCTGCATAGTTCTGGCCTTTGCGGCGATCTGGGGAGTGAATCGGGGTGGAAGACCTTTCTCTTTCTGTAACTCTACCTCTCAAATAAATAAATAAGTAAATAAATAAGAGGATTTATTTAAGAAAAAAAAACCACTTTGCTGCTTGAATAGTGTTCTGTTAGTACATGCTGGCCGCAATCTCAAATTTCAGGTGTACCTTATAAAAAAAAAAAAGATGTGATCTCTTAAGTCTATATGCCTTACAATTTTTAATTCAAGTTTGACATGGCAACTGGCACTATACTGTATTATAAAATGAAATGATAGTCTTATAAAATCTTCAATTTTCTATTTCAAACTGAGTAATGTGCTGTCATGCCACAAGAACAGTTACAATTTTCACTCCAACACTGAGAACAAGAAACAAAATGAGCCACATTATCACAGAGTAGCTGTAGAGTAAGCTGAACTTTCAAAGAAATTAAATCTCAGAAACAATAATACCAAAGAGGACTTAGGAGAGAAAATGCTTTGGGAAGCTCAATGCCAGGTAGTAGTGGATATGACTCCTTGTACCTGTTCTATATGTCAATGGCTAAGAAGTGATCTACTGACTAATGAAAGTAAAATGACTGTTTCAGTCAACTTTCCCGTCTTTAATCTTTTAAAAATTTGTAATTATACAATTACCAAAATTTGGAGGCATTATCTCAAGTAGCATGTATAATGAAGCAAATTTCTTTGAGCATCTCATTAACATTTTGAGAACTACACGTTGGGCTTTACTTATTCCCAGCCTCTACTAGAGTACTTTCTTAGAAACTATAAATCAAACCACCTTCCCTTAAAGGTTTCTGTATGTTCTACTTTAGGTCTCCCAGCCACATCTCCCCATAAAAGCCTGTATTCTCCTCTTTTTGTGTCATTGTATCCCCATCACACAGCACGGTACTGTCAAATATGTACTGACAGAGTCAGATAGAAAAGCAGAATTTGGCAACAGTTGTTACAGTCTTTGAACTCTTAAGTAGTAAATATACTAAATAACTGACTTTTCTTCCACTGCAGTAACAGTTCTATATCTATATTTTCTAACTGTCTAATGTTATACAATATAATTCTAATATCTGGACAATAGAGATGATAGCTAAAATCTATATCAAATTATTTTCATCAAGATCCACCTTACTCTACATTCTTAAAAACACAAAGAATTGGTACCTGTAATTTAAGGGAAAAGAGCCCATTAACCAGGGAATAGGAGTTCATATCCTAAATATTTTTCAGCTCTGTCTTAACTTTGCAAAACAGATTAGTATGCATATTTGGAAAGCTTAGTTACTTAACCCTGAATGTGATCACTAAGTGTCTGGAAAAATAAGAAAAAGAAATGCAAAACTTTCTTACCCAGGTCAGCAAATCTTCCCCAATTTGATCAATAACAGAGGTCTCATTCCTCTTTCGAACAGCCTTCATTTGTTCATTCAACCCAACTAAAAAAAAAGTAAGTACACACTCATTTTATGCTAAATAACTAGTAGTACTAAGTAGCTATATTTTTAAAAAAGGATTCTCAGAACAGTATATCTGCTTCTAATCTCCTTAATTATAAATCTGGATACAATGTTTATACATTTAGATATTATAAGCTTTATCTGAAAAACAGGTGCTAAAGTATAAAACATTTTTGGAAACTAGTACATCACATATAGCGTAGTTGCCTAAATATCCACTTAACCTCAAAACTCTCATCTTTAACCACGCTTAAAAATAAATTTAAATAGTTCTTCTCATTGTTCCTCTTAAAATGTGTATGTTCACAGGCAACAGATATTATCAGGCCTGCACTTGTCAATGCATGCTTATGAAACCCAAGATTACCCACAAAGGCGTAAAGGGCTTCAATTTGGTTGGCAGGTGTTGACGAAATCCTTGATGAAGAAAGACTGAAAATTAAGGGTCACAGAGAAATAGTGACCTGCAAAGAGAGAACATCCTATTGCTGTCTACAAAAGTGCAAGATGACTACACCCAGCCAAAGCCAACAAGGTAGAATTTTTTTCTTACTTAAGTGTTCTAAGCAACAAAACAATTTCTGAAAATTATCTCACCATGAGATTATATACAGTACATTATCATTTACAAAATGCATTTACACATGTATTATTACATGGAATATATACTTTTTAAAACACAATACTGTAACTGATAGGAAAATTTCAGGGTGATTTTGATAATTCATTTTGTCACCTCAGGCACTAACTGTAAACCTAAATCTCCATGTTAACATTCTGTACACAAAGGCTGATTGTGGAGGCAAAGGATATAGACAAAGATTCAATTATTTATTTATGCTATTTGCTCACAAAGACTTTTCAAAATGCTGACATGGATACATTTACAAAATCTAATAAAGGTACCTCCATGATGCTTTTATATGTTCACAATCTTTTCTCTACTGAAAATACTAGAGGAGGCCGGTATTGTGGTACAGAGGGTTAACACTCTGGCCTAAGGGCCGGCATCCCATATGGGCGCCAGTTCGGGACCCAGCTGCTCCTCTTCCAATCCAGCTCTCTGCTATGGCCTGGGGAAGCATAGAAGATGGCCCAAGTCCTTGGGCCCTTGCACCCGTGTGGGAGACCCAGAGGAAGCTCCTGGCTCCTGGCTTTGGATCAGTGCAGCTCTGGCCATTGCAGCCATCTGGGGAGTGAACCATCAGATGGAAGACCTCTCTCTCTCTCTTTCTCTCTCTCTCTCTCTCTCTCTCTCTGCCTCTCCTCTCTGCCTAACTCTGACTTTCAAATAAACAAATATATCCTAAAAAAAGAAAGAAAAGAAAATACCAGGGATGAATATATGAATATCAGAGCAAATTTCTCTTACTATGAAGTTGAAGAATATCTTCTAAGTTTGAAAAAATCTTCCGTAGTTCTGAAGGTGACAAAATTCCTTCTCTGGACACTCGCTGATAAAACACTTGATCAAGAACTTTCAGTGTTCGAACATGAGCTCGTTCTGTGTAGAACAATTCTAGGCAGGAAAAAAAGGAGATGTGAAATTGTGCCTTAGAATAATTTCACAGGACCAAACATAGCTGTTGGCTGGAATCAGGTAGCTGATGAGTTACACAATAAGTTATTTATCATTTAGAAAGTATGAAATGTCTCCGATTACTTTGATTAAATGAAATTTTCTGACTTTTTGACTCTAAAAAGCAAATACTGACAAATGAAAAATATCATTCAAAGCTGTTTTTTATTTAAAAGTTAACATTATGCCCCTAAACTCACTCTTCTATTCACAATAACCACCACCTTTCACAACTGCAACACTAGAGAACTGTAAAGCCAAAGGTCATATTTATAGCCATTTACTTAAATCCTATTCAGAAATAATAGTATTTTTGCTATCTAAACTGTCTATATACCACCATTTCTGGAGCCACACTTGTAATTTTACTATCTCACTGTGATGTCAGAGATATTTATTCAAATATATTTATTCAAATCACATAAGGGTAACAGAAGGTACAGTATCCATGCCACATATCTGTCACATACATGCTAAGGCAAATATAGAGCACTATAATAGGGCAAAGGAAAACCTGGCTCCTAGTTTTCCTATTAGTTAACTCTACCAGCCTTCCTGGTCTTAGCATCCTCATCCACATTCTATTCACAAAAATAACCTACCCTGAAAGTAAAATGATGGTGCAAATGCTGTCATAATGTTTTTTCAATCTAAAAATCTATAATGCTAGGAATCTTAAATAACTTGATGGCTCAACACATTTTTTCTGAATTATTAATAAGAATGAGAGAATCATTTGCATTTTTTGGGTTGAGGAGTTCAAGGATCATATCTAGTTTAACATTCTTTTTGTTTGTTTGTTTGTTATATAGTTTTTTTAATTTATTTAATAAATGTGAATTTACAAAGTGCAACTTTTGTATTGTTGTGGCTTCCCCCCCAACCTCCCTCCCTCCCATGGCCCTCCCCTCCCCCACTCCCTCTCCCATCCCGCCCTTCATCCAGCTTCATTTTCAATTACCTTCATATACTGAAGATCAACTTAGTATATACTAAGCAAGGATTTCAACAGGCTGCACTCACACAACCGCACAAGGTATAGGGTATTGTTCGACTAGTAGTGTTGTTTTTAAGTTTCATAGTAAAACACATTAAGGACAGAGATCCTACGTGGGGAGCATGTACCCAGTGACTCCTGTTGTTGATTTAACAATTGGCACTCTTATTTATGACGTCAGCAATCACCCGAGACTCTTGCTATGAGCTGTCTAGGCTATGGAAGCCCCTTGAGTTCACCGACTCTGAACTTGTTTAGTCAAGGCCGTATCACAGTGGAGGTTCCTTCCTCCCTTCAGAGAAAGGCGCCTCTCTCCTTGATGGCCTGTTCCTTCTGCTGGAACATTCTTCCTTTAAAAAAAAAAAAGCTAGGAGGAAATCTGAAGCAAATTCTAAGGCTGAAAGGGTTTGCTTTACTCTGATAAAACTAAATATATATGAACAACAACAAATTGATTAAACTCACCATTAATTACTTCTTGTCTTTTGATCTCACAAGGTTTCAGGCCCAGTAACACTTCTCGACTAACAAGCTGCTGCCAGTTGGGTGGATCTGTCTCTAAGTCATTTTCAAATTGTTCATCCTCACTTTGACTTTCTCCAAAAGCTATGCTGTCAAACCTAGTGAAGGAAACATAGATTTCTAGTTAAAGGCTCAGGTAGACAAAGTGAAATAGCTCAGTCTTTACATCACAGTGAATCAGTCAGATATCTGGTTCTGATTTAGCAGAGAGCCTAAAATGATATCCTTTCCCTTGTGTTAAAAATATCTCAATACATGTCTTTTGAATACTTTGCACTTGTTAGAATATTCTTTTATACTCTAACAGTTTTGTATATGGAGTTCTTTTCCTTTAAAACTGAGACTTCGGGGCCAGTGCTGTGGAACAGCAGGTAAGCAGTGACCTGTAGTGCCAGTATCCCATATAGATGCCAGTTAAGAGTCCCAGCTGCTCCACTTCCCATCAGCTCTCTGCTAATGCGCCTCGGAAAGCAGCAGAAGATGGCCCAAGTCCCTGGGCCCTTGCACCCACATGGGAGACCCAGAAGCTCCTGGCTTCTGGCTTCGGCCTGACATAGCCCTGGCCACTGCAACCATTTGGGGAGTGAACCAGCAGATGAAGATCTGCCTCTCCTTCTCTCTCTCTCTGTAAGTCTGTGTTTCAAATAAGTAAATAAATCTAAAACTGAGCCTTCAGAGGAACAAAATGCTGAATGTCTTAATATGTGCTTTTACCGAAAGCTACTTCAGATTTACTTACTTTCGAACAGGTTTTGGTGTTCCATGTTCAATCACCCTAAAACAATGGAGAATAAAAGCATGAAAACAAAATGGTGATCAAAAGATTTATACCGAAGATAATCAAAACTGAGTTTCACTCCAGTGGCTTGATAAACAAATTTCTTGGATACTGTAATTATTTAATATAAAATAAATTGAAGAAAATTTCAGTACTTAGCTAATACTACTAACAAGTACTGGTTCTTTCTCAAAACGTTAACATAAGGAAAGAAAAGTGCTGTAAAGTATAATAACATTAAATAATTTAAAAAACATGGGTGGATGTTGTGGCACCAAGTTAAATCACCTCTTGGGATGCCTGCATCCCATACTGGAGTGCTTGGGATTGAGTCCACCTCTACTTTTTTAAGATTTTATTTGTTTATATGAGAGGCAGAGTTACAGACAAGAGAGAAGGAGAGGGAGAGAAAGGCATTCCATCCACTGGTTCATTCCCTAGATGGTCACAAGACCAGAGCTGGGCTGACCTAAAGCCAGGAGCCAGGAGCTTCTTCTCGGTCTCCCATGCGGGTGTAGGGGCCCAAACGCTTGGGTCGTTGTCTTCTACTGCTTTCCCAGGCCATAGTCAAGAGCTAGCTCAGAAGAGGAGGAGCCAGGACTAAAGTCAAGACTCATATGAGATGCCTGCCCCGCAGATGGAGGATTAACCTACTGTGCCACAGTGCTGGTTCCCCACCTCTACATCTAATCAAGGTTCTTGCCAATGTGTCTGGGAGGCAGCAAATGATTGTACAAGTACTTGGGTTGCTACCACCCATGTTAGAAATCCAGATGCAGTTCCTGGCTCCTGCCTTCAGCCTGGTCCATCCTTGGCCATTGCAAGCATTTGAGGAATGAACCAGCAGATGGAAGATCTCCCTCTCTGTATTTCTCTGTGTGTGTGTCACTCTTTTGACTAAATAAATAAAACTTAAAACAAAAACAAAAACATTAGGTAATGCCCTAAACCTCTCAAGGGTATCATTGAATTACCTTTCTACTTCACATTCCTCCTCTTGCACTTGGTCTAATGGAGGAGGAGGAAAATCAGAGGCAGTATTGGGAGTACGAGGTGTACCATCCAAGGAGTCTCCAGATGCTGGTGTTTCTCCAACTGGCTTTGATCCTGAAAAGTCAGACAATTCAAGAATGCTAAATCTTAGGAAGATCACTGGTTACAAAACAAGAAAAGCTTCAACCTCATCTATAGCCACATTCTTATATAAATAATTACAGGTTAGCTAGAACCAAAAATTTCAAAATATAAAAAGTTTAAATGCACTAAAAATAGGAAAATTATTTTTTAAAGTAGCATCTTAAAAGTAAACATAAAACATGGCAATAATCTCAAAATTTCATAAGAGCTTATGATAAGGAGCAACCTTCTCCTCCCTTAGTCTTTTCTACCTCCAATATTAGCTCTTTTTCATGTTTTCAAATTTCAGTTATAATGTAGTCCAACTCTGGAGTAGCTGTTGCATGGGTCAGTATCATAACCATCAGGCTAGAACCACCTTCTGCCAGTCACCTGGAGGCTTTGTGTCTCCAGAGCTTCCGGGCCCCCACACATTTATTTCTTCTCTCTCTCTCTCTCTCACTCACTCACTTTTGCTCTCTTCTTTTTCTTTCTCTTGTCTCTTTCTCTTCCCCTCTTGCTTGCTTCCTCTCTTCTCTCTCTCTCTCTCCCCCTTTGCCTCTCCACAACTCTGCCTTTCAAATAAATAATCTTACTTATTTTTAAAGATTTTATTTATTTTATTTGAGGTAGAGTTACATACAGACAGTGAGAGAGAGAGACAGAGAGAAAGGTCTTCCTTTTTCCATTGGTTCACCCCCAATGGCGGCTACAGCCAGTGCACCGTGCTGATTCGAAGGCTGGAGCCAGGTGCTTCTCCTGGTCTCCCATGCGGGTGCAGGGCCCAAGGACTTGGGCCATCCTCCACTGCACTCCCGGGCCACAGCAGAGAGCTGGCCTGGAAGAGGAGCAACCGGAACAGAATCCGGTGCCCTGACCGGGACTAGAACCCGGTGTGCTGGCACCGCAGGTGGAAGATTAGCCTATTGAGCCATGGTGCCGGCCCACAAAGTTTCTAATATTCCTTCTGGCCAGAGTGCAGCCTAATTTCTCTCTCCTTGAGTGTGGGCCACATGTAGTGACTTAGTTCTAACCTGCAGAAGTGAGTGTGCACTCTGCAGAGACTAAGTCATAGAACACATCAAGGGGTGGGTATTTGGCCTAGTGGTCAGAATGCCACTCGAGATGCCTGTAGCTCATAAAAGAGTGTCTGGCTGTGACCCTTGGCTCTGGCTCCTAACTCCAGCTTCCCACTAATACGGACCCTGGGAGGCAGGATATGGCAACTGGGTCCCTGTCATCTACATGGGAGATCTGAATTGAGTTTCTGGCTCCTGGCTTCCCCAGCTGTTGTAATCATCTGGGAGCAGGTAGAAGCTCCTTCTGTCTTTTTGCCTTTCAAGTGAAAATAAGAAAGATATTGACATTTCCTTCTTGCTCTTATCTGGATCACTCTGGGGAATCTCTGCTATAATATCTTATTTGCTGCTAACATACCCCCTTCTTCTAGCTCCTTTCTCTTTATGATTTTTGTTTATTTCTAATCAATTATGCTTTTATATAATGAATCATGGGAGCCCTAAGATACCAATACATATAACTTAATCTGACATCATGAGAATTCCATTATTTAACCCAATCCTCAGACTTTTCCCCAATGTCACCCCACTTCCTTCTTAAATAAAAACCTGCTGATCCTGATGGCCACCTCTTCTACAACAGGTCTCTCAAATAGAGGATGATGGTTCTGCCAGACACTATACACTTCAAGGTGAAGATTGATGTCCTTTCTCAATATGACTTTCAGTCCATTTTTGTACTTTTTCTAAAAAAAAAATACTTCTCTACTGAGGCTCTCACTCTCTGGATGTTATTATATGTTCTCTTTATTCACACTAATCATTCAACAACACTAAGCCTTTGGCTGCAGGCTACATAGTTTTCCTCTCCATGCTAAAAATCATATTAGGTGGTCTCAAAATCATGTATATTAAGCTGTTCCAAATCCTGGCTCATTTGCTTCCTGACTGCTTTCAATCCTAGCACTCTGCTTTCTGCTGCCTCAGTGACCACTCTGATAATCTCATCCTTTGTGGTCACCAGACCCTGAACCACCTCCAGAACCAGTGATGCAGACAAATGTCCCCAGACAGCCCTTGGCAGAAAAAGGTTCCAACCTCTCATAGACAATCTCTCCTGCAAATTCAACTGCTTTCAGCTGGCTTCCTATTAGCAATAAGACAAAACAAAACCTCTAGAGCCTCAGATTTTTTAAAAGTCTTCTTTAGAACCCCTACATCTGCTCTAGCTACTAACCAGTCCTGTTAGTGTTTCTTTACCTCTTAATTGGATTTTGCACAATTTAAGTTTTTTGTCTGTGTGAATATCTACCCCATGAAACTAAGCTGCATACAGCAAACATTTGTGTATAGTTACTTCAGGCTAACATCCGTGACAAAGCTAGTGCTCAGTAAATATTTTTGTGACATGTCAAACTAGAAATCATTACTCAGCATAGACTATCACAGGTTGTAGAATATTAGAATCTTAAAACTCAATTAAACCAGGATTGAATCTTGATTAAAATGATCCACCAGGCTATTTAGATTTCAGTTGGTGTGCTTGTTAAACAACTCCGATAGCAAATTAAGGTGAACTGAAGTATGAACTTACCCATCTCATTCTCTTTTCCTCCTTCCTGGGAAAGAGCAGCCCCTGAAGCCACAGAGGACACAGAACCGGCAGGTGCATATCCAATGTCTGATCCTTCATTTGCTAACCCACTCTGGCGCAACTTAGTAGAGTCCTGAGGTTCAGGACTCACAGATAAGGGTGTGGATAAATGCTTAGGGTGGCGCACCTTCTGCAGTTCCATGGCTCTGCCAACTGAGCAGAAAGCAATGGTTAATAAACTGCTGCAAAACAGAAAGCAAGAAGATGATATAAAAGAATTTGGAAAATTTCTAGGACATAGTGGGAACCCCAAAATAGAAAAATGAAATATTATATAGTGCAAAGAATAGGCAAAGGCAAGGGTAAAGGGAAGGACAAGAGTAGGTAGAAGAGTAAGGTAAGGAGGCAGAAGGGATGAAGAGGGAAGAACAAGGCAGAAGATATGGGTAAGAGGGGGGAGGCAGGGGAGGAGGAGGTTCAAGAGAAAAGGAGATGTGGAGAGAAACAGTGGGCCAGGGGAGGAAATGATGAGAGACACAGAAAATTATGGAGCTGTATTCATCTGTAGGCATGAAAATCAAGCCTTTTTCTTTGCAAGCTCTTAGCAAGCCCTATCCCATTTCTTCCCCAACACTCAAAACTTCATCACCATAAATGCCTCAGAGAACATCCAGACTAATCCCTGTCCTGCTCATTGTCCTTGTTCACATCAATCATCACCCTCCAAAGGACTGCACAGCCTTTCCACCGCTGATCTAACTCCATCTCCCCAAATTCCTAAACATCTTCTGTACCCCCTGGAACTCATGAAACCCTCCAGCACCCCAAACACCTCTCTAAAGAGTTCCTTCACTTTCTCAGTGTTTCTCAACAAGCAGTACCACTGGCACAGAATTCCTCGCTAGATGGGTATTCAGTGTCACAGCATTACAATTCCCCTCCCATCCTGACCACACCAGCATTTTCACACGTGGCCCTGCCTGAGATGAGAACTACCACATGGCCTAGTCACCCTCCCGACAGCACACCATCCCTACTTCTCCTGCAGCATCTTTCTATGGTGGGCTGATCTCTCTCCACTGGATCTGGGAGGTGAAAGGAGATCAGAAAATAAAGCACAATGGAGAGATGGAGAAATTGTAGAAGAATGGAGACAGTAACATATGGATAAAGAGATTAAACCACATATGGTAGACAGAACAATGCATGCTGTGTCTTTTTCTGAACAAACACAGCTTGAGTGCACACAAAATCAGAAGAGGTGAGTAATTTGTGGAATTTACATCTGATAGAATAGTGCCAGTAAAGAGAAAATGCTTATGGAAAACATGGGTGGAATTCAATTCAGAAATAACACTGAGTGGAAACTAGAACAGTACAAGTTCAGAGAACTCATCTGAAGGACATCTTTCTTCAGCAATTCATTCTAGCCAAATGAGCCTCTGGTGTAAAGATGGCACAGAACAGTGGGACACAGGACTTCAAACTGCAACATACTTGCACTGTTGTCATGGCGACTCGGTCTCCTTGGAGGTCCCAGGATACTGGGGAATCCTCTTCGCTTTCCTTTTTCTTCGCCTTCTCTATCTTTCTTCATACTTTGCTGGAGTTGAAGTACAACAAAAAAGATAAGATACATCTAGCAAAGATTGCTTTTGCTGCTTTCAATCATAGAAGTGTGATTCTAATGGCCAGTTTAAATGAATTGGTTAAAAACATATGAAGGTGTGTGCATGTCTGTGTGTGCATACATGCACACACACATACACACACAGAGCACTTTCATTAAAGGCTGGCCTATAGTACTACATTGTGTCCACCTCAAGTTCAAGCCATCTTTTCAAACCCTTTGAAGATAACAATTTTGGAATATAAAAGATCAGTTCTAGAACACATTTACCAGGAGGCTGGTCTAAATCATTCATTCATCCATTCAAATTCATAATGTACAAAGGCACTGTGCTAATAGCTGAATACTGAAGAAGAACCATGCCCTCACAGTTTTACAATACTGCAAACATTAAAAAACAAAACAAAACAAAACAAAACAAAAACAAATAATTACATACTATAACAGGCACAGTTAAAAAAAAAAAATAACAACTAGGTATTAGGGCCAGCATTGTGGCATAATAGGCTAAGCCTCCACCTGCCATGCTGGCATCCCATATGAGCGCCAGTTCATGTCCAGGCTGGTCTTCTTTAGATCCAGCTCTCTGCTGATGGCCTAGGAAAGTAGTGGATGATGGCCCAAGTGTTTGGGCCCCTGCACCCGCGTGGGAGACCTAGAGGAAGCTCCTGGCTCCTGGCCAGGCCCCAGCTGTTGCAGCCATTTGGGGAGTCAATCATCAGATGGAAGACCTTTCTCTCCATCTCTCCCTCTGTCTGTAACTCTCTCTCTCAAAATAAATAAATAAAAAATCTTTAAAAAAATGTATTAGGCACTAATAGTTGGCGATGGCAGTATGTAAATGGATATTTTCACTTTTCACATTGTCTGCTGACTAGCATACACGCCTGGACTTCTCTCCAGATTTTGAGTGTCTTGAGATCAGGGACTATATCCTATAACTTTTAGTATGCTGAGCACTGATTAGCTGATTAATTAAATTCTCAGGACAAAACACGGCAGCCACGTGTAAAGAAGCACCTAGACGTGAACACAGTTATTATTCCAGGCTTACTTTGATTTTTGGAAGGAATCCAATCCGACCCCGCTTGTGCTCTAAATTTCGAGGTTCTTTCACTTTTACTCCCAAATGCTTCATGTACATGAGAATAACATACTGCATTGTGGAACTGGAGGAGAAAAGTAAACAGAAAGAAAGAAAATAGTACTTCTGTAAGGGTGAGTCAGCAGAATAAAACTTCAAATGATTTGCAAAACCCCAATATTGGAATTTTTGAAATTAATCAAGCAGAAAAACCTTAAAAATCTATTCATTGACACAGAAAAGGATTCTACCCAGGATTCTAGAATCCTAGTCTAATAAAACAGAGGCCACCAGAGGGAGACCACAGTCTATATTTGTAAGTTAAAAGATATAAATTACAATTTAGAGTTGATGGGAAAAAACAGGCTCTTTTTTCTTAAAATTCTAGAAAAAAATTTTATTACCTCTTTTCTTCTTCTACAGCCTGAGCAGTCATCCTAAAAATACAAACATTTACAAATGAAATATTAAGTTTTAACAAGAGTTATTGAATGCATTCAACTGAAACAGAATAAAATAGACAAAATGCTTTTGGTTTTAGGTGACTCTAAGTCTCCATCACCCAGAATAAAATATCAAAGAATCCTAGTTCTCAAAGGAACTGCATCTTCTCACACTCGTATCTCCTATACATGCTTTGTAACAAATATTTCCAAAGCCTGTGAATTGAAACCAATGAAAACATTTACCTGTTTTATCAATGATTAGAAATTTTAGCTATTTATTTACCAACATCCAGAAAAGGAAACACAAGAACTTTATCTAAAATATCACAAATTCCAAAGTATCAATTATTTTTACAATATAAACATACAAAGCATACAAACCAGCAGCCTTTTAAAATCTGTTCAAAGGGTCCTTTAAGCATATTTAGCATCTCAGCAAAGAGGGCATTTCCACATATACTTCTATTACTTACAACACTTCTTCAATTTTGGCAACAATTTGTTCTGCACATGCCCGCTCCTTCTCCAAAATGATGCGGTCCTTGTCTCGCTCTGCATCAAGCTTAGTCAGTTCACTTTCAGCCAACGTCAGTCCCATGCTACGCTTCTGCCTGAAGGGAATAAAAGAAACTTTCTGAGGTGGCTGAGAGAAAAACTATCTTGCTCTGGAGATGTCCCATCAGTCTCCCCAGCTATGCATTTCTAGGAACAGGTAAAATGTCAGTTTTCTAATTATGGGCCCACGTGACCCAGGATATCAGAAGAAAAGCATTCTAGAGACAATCACACACAGAATACTTATCTTCAAGGATCACAGTCAGGACATAGCACTGAGCTCAAATCCTTGAAGTATACAGATGGGAATATGGACTCTCAGTTACGATCTTTTGGACTCTAGGTGGTCATTATATTTAAATAACAGGGATAAGACTATATGGTTTGTCTTGTGCTAAGGTAAGTATTTGATATGTAACATTTTCTTACACTAAAAATTAATCCAGAATGATCACATTGGGTTTTATTTACCACCAAGCTTACCGAAAATCTTCCAAGTGCCTTTGAACTTCGGGGTGGACTCTTTCTTGCATAGTCTGGATATAGTGGCGATGCAGATCCTCAGGTATAAGCTCTGGTCGTCTCTTTTCTGCATGAAAGAAGGCAATTATTTGATAAGACAGTATGTTCTAGGTAACCTATGACTGGCAACATTTCAATGCTACATGGTACAAATTTACTTGGAGTACACCAAAAACTTCAGTGCATGTCACATATTTCATCTCAGAATTTAGATTTCATTTACCCTAGATGTAGTATAGGCTCTCCTCCTGCTACCATTCAGGTCATCAACTAGTCATCATGGAACAGATAAACTGAGCTACATACCTACAGAGATGCAATTCTCTAAGACATTGATGCTCCAAACTCACCTAGATCCACAGATATTTCATCAGGAACCGAAACTTTCAGATTCTAAAACAAAATGCAAACAAGAGGTGAAACAGCACTAAAGAATTTCCAAGATATACACAAGCATTCACATAAAGTAGAGGGATATGGTTTAAATATCTATTCTTACAAACATATCTATGTACAAACCCAAAATCAACTTTCTTAAAAAAATTATTTATCTGAAAGTCAGAGTTACAGAGAGAGGAAGACATAGAGACAGAGATTTTCCATCTACTGGTTCACTCCCTAGATGGCCAGAAGGGCTGAAGCAGGGCCAAGCCAAAACCAGGAGCTTCTTTTGGGTCTCCCATGTAGCACCTGGGTCACCTGCTGCTTTCTCAGGTGCATTAATAGGGAGCTGGATTGGAAGTGGAACAACCAGGACACAAACTGGCACCCATATGGGATGCCAGTGTTGCAGGTGGCAGCTTTACCAGTTATGCCACAACACTGGCCTCAAAATCAACTTTCTTATACTTTTGAGCACAAGTATATAAACTACTTACAAAAGTTCATTTGTGGAGCCAGTGCTGTGGCATAGCAGGTAAAGCCACTGCCTGCAGCGCTGGCTTCCCACATGGGCACCAGTTGGAGGCCCGGTTGCTCCACTTCCAATCCAGCTCCCTGCTAATGTGCCTGGGAAAGCAGCCGAAGATGGTCCAAGTCCTTGGGCCCCTGTACCCACATGGCATACTCAGAGGAAGCTCCTGACTCCTGGTTTCAGATTGGCCCAGCTCTGGCCATTACAGCCCATTTGGAGAGTGAATCAGTGGATGGAAGACCTCTCTCTCTGGCTCTGCCTCTCTAACTCTGCCTTTCAAATAAATAAATCTTTTTAAAAAAATTCATTCATGTATGTGGGTATTATATGAAAGAAATATGACATGTAGCATAAAAGAACAATTAGCAAATTAATCAATGAGAATTCTTAACCCTTAATGGTGATATACATATAGAGATCATAACTAACAAAATATGAAGTTTTACTTAGCTTGGAGCTCTCTTAAGAAATGTGAAATTCAAACATGCTTGAATATACTATTAATTCATCATGAACATAAATTATCTTAATAAAAATCATGTGTAATATTTTAGACAATGGTAGTGCAATCAGATCCATAATTCAGTCAACAAATATTTGAGTAACCACTCTGTGCCAGAAATTATTCAATGCTGGCAACACAACAGTGAACAAATGGAAGTAAAATACCAGTCCTGGGAGCTTATTGAATTAAGAATACAGGATCAGGAATATAAAGAAAAATAAATAAATAAATAACATATAAGCTCTACAGATGAAAATAACACTGAAGTTACCACTTCTGTGGTAACTTTCTGTTACCACAGAAAGTAAAGGGGGTGGGATTTAAGTGGGTTGGTCAGGGAATGCCTCATTGATTAGATAACTGTATTTAGTAATGTGAAAGGATGCAGGCAATTTCATAAAGGAATACAAAGAAAATAGGGCAGAAGCTGAAGGGAGAAGCCAAAATGTTTGCGCATGTTTATTTTAAGGTAGTAGAAATAACAATGTTTGCATGCTAATGGGAATGATTCAGCAGAAAACAAAACAAAACAAAACAAAACAAAAGATATGGGAAGGTAACTAAAGGTATTTGAGTAAGTATGAAGATAACACAGTCTTATGTAAATGGAGGCAGAGTTGTTGCTGGATAAAGGATGGAAACTCCCCCCATAGCATCAAAGGAAATGGCAGAGACATGGCATGATGGGGGCAGGTGATGTTTCTGGTAGAAGCCCTCCTCTCTGTACCTCAAATGTCTCAGAGAAACAGCAAGATCATCATCTGAGGAAAGGTTAGGAGAGGAAGGGAGGGAGGTTTTATGAGAAAGTATGTATGAAGCAGGAACTCAGGAGAACACTCAACATGAAAGGACTAGGGTCTTGCAGCCTGAGTACCAGGAGGCATTAAGGGCAAACTGCTAGCTCCCCAAGGCAAGGCTAATAATAAAACGTACTAGTTTAAAAACCTTGTTAGCATTTCTACTAGCAAATAAAACACTATTATCATTTATGTCAGTGTGAGTGAGATCTTTTCCATCACTTTTTAAATTTGTGCCTCTAACTTTCAAAATAAGCACTCATAATTCAATTATGCAAGTATCAGCCCTTAGATATATATAATATATATAGCCTATATATTTATGATATAAAATATATATGAATATATATCATTTTTTTAAAGATTTATTTTATTTCTTTGAAAGGCAGAGTTACAGAGAGGGGAAACAGAGTTAGAGAGATTTTCTGTTTGCTAGCTCATTCCCCAAATGGCTGCAATGGCCAGGGCTGGGCCAGGCTGAAGCCAGGACCCAGAAGCTTCATCTGGTTCTCCCATGTAGGTGCAGGAGCTCAAGCACCTGGGATAATCTTTCACTGCTTTCCCAGGCACATTAGCAGGGAGCTGAATCAGAATTGGAGCAGCAGCATTGCAGATGTCAACTTAACCTGTTATATCACAATGCTGGCCCATATAATCTCTTTTTCATTCCCGTATTCTAATTCTATACATACATACATATATACAAAATATATCCCAAATACGCATATATACATTTACATATATCTTAAAACCCACTGTTTTCATATGCCTAAAACTAACATAGAAATGATAAAAAGTCAAGAATAATCAATAATTGAGATATAGCACAGATGTCAGAAAGCACAACAGAGTCCATAAACAAGAGAGTAAAGATTGGAAGTAGGAAGACAGTAATTCAATGTACTAAAGCAAAGATTATAATTAACTTGGCAACTTACTGCAGATCGATCCAGGAAGAACTGATGAAACTCCAGGAAGATGCGACGAGTTTCCTTGGAATTGGTCTGTTTATACAAGTCTGAATAGAGATAACAGAGCTGTAGTGGAGAAACAAATGGAAAAGACAGAGTGAGAAATCAAAAGACATAATTTGCTACATCCTCATTATTTAGGAATATCTAGAACAGATATGTCAACATCAACAATGTAGTTATCACCGAGTCTTTAAAAATAAACTAGTAACATTTTATATTTCTTTTATAGCTATCCCTTTATGTTTGGAAAGCTGAAAGAAGTCTGTTCACTCCTCTTGTAGAGAGGAAACATTGTATGGTACATGAATCAGAAGAAGAACTCTGAACCAGCTAAATTGTAAAATATATTACCAATGTTGCAGGGTCAAACTGTGAAACTACATGGTGTAAAAAAACAGCCAAATGAGCAGGGCGAGATTTCAGCAGTTCAATGCTCTGGAAACAGCTGCACTGCCCATTAATCTAGAGGAAGAAATAATTATATATCAAAAACTCCAATACACAAATACAAAATGCAATGTATGCTCAACTCAACACAGCTATCAAATCTTCACTTTTATCTTCTTACATCAAATTAAGTATCCTAAAAATTTCACTAAGATGTATTAGTGACAAAGGCTATGGAAACTCTTCCTCTGAAAATCAATCCTCTCTTGGGAACAGGTTAGAAGACAAATCATCTTGGGAGAATGGAATTTAGGAGATGATTATCAAGGCTCAGATGTCCAATCAGTATTAGAAAAACAGTCTCAACATTTCCAAAACTATGGAAGGCTTTATGACCAACAACAAAATAACTGTTTTTCTTTTTCTTTTGGTCTAATTACAGAGATGGCAATGGGGAGTTCAGCTATATGATTTTAAGTGAGAAAACTCCTAGAATATTTGTATAATCCCTAAATATACTTAACATAGAAAACAGTAACCTGGGACCAGGACTGTGGTGCAGCCAGTTAAGCTGCTGCCTGATGCCAGGACCTCAAATGAGCAGTGGTTTGAGTCCCAGCTGCTCCACTTTCAATCCAGTTCCAAGGTAAAGCACTTGGGAAAGCAGTGGAAGATGCTGCCACCCCCATGGAAGACCCGGATGAAGCTCCTGGTCCTGGCTTGGTCCAGCCCCAGCAGCCGCTGCAGCCATTTGGGGAGTGAATCAACATATAGATTTTCTCTCTCTCTTTCTCTATCTCACTCTAACTCTAACTCTTTCAAATACATAGATCTTTAAAAAATGAAAATAGTAAATTGACATCACAATTTCCATATAATTTCCCATTGAAATCTTTAATTTAGAGAAGAAAGATGTATCTAACAAGCAATGCCATTTGACATAGTATATGCCAGAAACAGTCACTTCCCAAAGCATTCATTCTAAAGGCCACCACTACCACACTGTCAAAACCAGGCAGACACTACAAGAAGCACAACCCAACATCTCCCGTGAACACTGCTAACAAAATTCTTCAGAAAAATAATAGCAAATTAAATTCAACAACATATAAAAGGGATAATACATCAAGACCAACTGGAATTAATTCCAGGAATGCAAGAGTAGTTCAACATTGTAATACCAATGTAATTTATCATATTAAGAGACTAAGAAAAGTCATATGATCATCTCATCCATTCAAAAAAATTCAACACATAGTCATGATAAAAATCTCTCAGTGAACTAAAAATATTCTTTAACCTAATGATCCTTAGCATAATAAAAAACATATGCAAAAACCCAAGAAAAATATTATACTTAATGAAGAGTGAATGGTTTTTCCCTAAAGTCAGGAATAAAGCAAGGATGCCTCTCTTGCCATTCCCAATTCAACCTCATACTGGTATTCCTACCTAGTACAAAAAGAAAGAAGATACACAGATCAGGAACAAGAAAATAAAAACTCTCACTCTTCATAGACAACATTGCTGTCTATGTAGAAAATTCCAAGAGTTATTTTTAAAAACTCCTTGAAATAAGTAGATTTAGCAAGATCACATAATTCAAGGATAAAATCAAGCTAAGCATATTCTTCTATGATCAATGAACAATTGTGGTTTGAAATAATTTAAAAGCTACTCTTCAATAACAGCTCTCTTACTCATCCAAATTAACTATTTAGGTGTAGTCAATGAACCTAACTTTTACTGGCTTTAAAAGAAAAATGTTTTCTATTGGTCGAAGCTAAAATAAGCTATTAACTCAAGGGGCAATTCAAATCCTCACAAATGTTCATTCTTTACAATAAATCAGAAATCTCAGAAAATTAGTAATTTATTTAGAAAAAAAATGTCCTCACCTGTTCATGTTCAGTTCCAAAATCATCATCTTCTGCTCCAATAATATGAGGTGTTATGCGGGTTGAGGGACTCCCGATAAGTGACTGAGTGTCCTGGCAGCATTCAAAGAAAAGGAACAGAAAATTATCTGGTGGTCAAAGCCACAGGAAGAATAAAGCCAAACCATCAAAAAGACATGATTCCCTTAAACATGGAATTTCTTTTTTTTCCCAACTTTTATTTAATAAATATAAATTTCCAAAGTACAACTTTTGGATTATAGTGGCTTTTCCCCACATAATCTCCCTCCCACTTGCAACCCTCCCATCCCCCGCTCCCTCTCCCATCCCATTCTTCATCAAGATTCATTTTCAATGATCTTTATATACAGAAGATCAACTTAGTATATACTAAGTAAAGATTTCAACAGACTGCACCAACACAGACACACAAAGTACAGAGTACTGTTTGAGTACTAGTTTTACTGTTAACTCACATAGTACAACACATTAAGGACAGAGATCCTACATGGGGAGTAGGTGCACAGTGACTCCTGTTGTTGATTTAACAATTGACACTCTTATTTATGACGTCAGTAATCACCCAAGGCTCTTGCCATGGACTGCCAAGGCTATGGAAGCCTCTTGAGTTCACAAACTCCGACCTTATTTAGACAAGGCCATAGTCAAAGTGGAAGTTCTCTCCTTCCTTCAGAGAAAGGTACTTCCTTCTTTGATGGCCTGTTCTTTCCACTGGGATCTCACTCACAGAGATCATTCATTTAGGTCATTTTTCTTGCCACAGTGTCTTGGCTTTCCATGCCTGTGAAACTCTCATGAGCTTTTTAGCCAGATCTGAATGCCTTAAAGGCTGATTCTGAGGCCAGAGTACTTTTTAGGACATCTGCCATTCTATGAGTCTGTGTATCCCGCTTCCCATAAACATGGGATTTCTTTCTGCTTATTTTCTTTGAAGTACTTTATTTTCAAAGTAATGGTTCTCAAATTTTCAAGGCCATGAAACACTTTAGCAGAGAAAACAATCCAAACATTATCAACTATTTCTTGGAGGTGGGGGAATCCTTCCTCTGGAAATAGTAAGTATTCTTTGCTCACCATACCCTTGATTATCTGATTCTAATCATTTTCTATATACATGTCATTAACTCATACAAACCTAGACTTTGTTACAGAAAAAGATAAAGTTGGCTTACATAGGTAGAGTAAACATTTTTAAAAAGTGGATGAAAACAGTAGAAAAGGAAAAATGAGAGCAATGACAGGACAAAGTTACCTTTGTTATCTTACTAGAGAGGTTAATGCTTCTGAGAAGTACTAATCAAAGATTTCCACTAATGACAAACAACTGAAAGCTGTCACAGAACTCTATTTTTGCATTTATAATTAATTTTCCTAAGTGTATAATGTGGGTTTCTCAATTTTGACACTGTTGGCACTTGGGCCACACAATTTGGGAGTCACCCTGTACAGTGTGAGATCTTTCGCAGCACCCTGATCTCTATCTACCGACTAGATGACAGTAGCAGCCTCCCAGTCATGACAATAGAAACTGTTTTTAGACATTGACAAATTATTATATCCCATGCGATATCTCATCCATTTTGTCAACTCATAAAAGTTAATTCTGGAGCCGGTGCTGTAGTGCAGTGGGTTAAAGCCCTGGCCTGAAGCGCTGGCATCCCATATGGGCGCTGGTTCTAGTCCCGGCTGCTCCTCTTCCAATCCAGCTCTCTGCTATGGCCTGGGAAAGCAGTGGAAGATAGCCCAAGTCCTTGGGCCCCTGCACCCACATGGAAGACCCAGAAGAAGCTCCTGGCTCCTGGCTTAGGATTGGCGCAGCTCTGGCCATTGTGGCCATCTGGGGAGTGAACCAGCGGATGGAAGACCTCTCTTTGTCTCTACTTCTCTCTGTAACTCTTCTTTCAAATAAATAAAATAAATTTAAAAAAATAGATTCAGTACAATAATAGCAATATAGGGGGATGAATGTATAATTTAATAAATATGAGATGTATAAAGACCATGAATATTAAAATCAAAGGTCACACAGGATTACAAGAAATAAAACATTTGGAAGACAGGAATTTGGCTTAAATCTGATGGCCACTGAACAGCAGTATCCAGAATTCAGCAAAGTAGGGAGAAGCTATAATGGCTTGGGAGTCATTTGCATAGTACGGTTGAAACTATATAAACAGACCCACAAGTTATAAACTAGGTAAATAATAAAATATATCTGGGGGCTGGTGTTGTGGTATAACAGGTTAAATTGCCACCTGTGATGCCGGCCATCCCATACGGTGCTGTTTAGAATCCTGGCTGCTCTACTTCCAATCCAGGCCCCTACTAATGTTCCTGAGAAAGCAGTGGGAAGATGGCTCGGGTCCTTGGACCCCAGCACCCATGTGGAAGACCTGGAAGAAGGTCATGGCTCCTAGTTCCAGCCTAGCTCTGCCCTGGCCATTGTGAGCATTTAGGGATTGAACCAACAGATAGAAGATCATGTGTGTGTGTGTGTGTGTGTGTGTACATGTCTCTGACTCCAAATAAATAAATTCATCTTTATATATGTAATTTTTCTTCCTTAAGTATGCTACAACACCAGGTATCCATTGCCTAAATTATATCTATCTTTACTAATCTTTTATTTTCTTTATTCACAGGACTTTAATAACTTTTTTTAAAAAAAGGAAATCAGGTGAAAGAACAGAAATTTGTTTAGAGCACTACTCTTACAATTTTTGATCTTATAACTGATCCAATGTCTCTGATTTTTCAATAGTCTTTGTGGTAGTAATAGTCAATATATCACAAAATGCTGTTAAATATTTTGCTATAAAACTTTAAACAAATCTAATTTTAAAACAGAATGTTAGAAGCACTCAATTAAGAAAATGTAAGATCCAACAATTGCACATCTAGGAATAGAATCCAGAGAAGAACTGAAAAACTGAAAAACAAGAACTGAAAACAGAGCAGCAATATTTACAGTAGGCTTCAGGTAGAAGCAACCCAAGCGACCACTGACAGATGAGCAGATGAACAAAATGCAGTATACATCATAACAGTATTATTTAGTCTTAAAAAAGAAAGGAAATTCTGACACATACAACTTAGATGTACCTTAAAGGCATACCACATGAAATAAGCCAGTCACAAAAGGAGAAATATTATATAATTTCATCTAAACAAACACCTAAAGTAGTCAAAACTGCAAAATTTCAACGGGCTGGAGAGGAGAAAGAAACATGGACTTAGAATTTAATGGGTATCAAGTTTCAGCTGAGGAAAATGAAAAAATTTTGGAGATGGGTGGATATGATAGTGTGCGATCATGGGAATATACTTAGTAATGACACTATACCTTTCAAAATGGTCAAAACAGCAAACTTTGTTATGCATGTTTTACCACAACAAAATTGTGCTGAGCAACCTAGAAATGCTAAGTAATCAGGCAATATCTCACCATTTATTAATATCTTCATTAAGTTCCTTTTATAAATTTTAATTGTTTTCTGAAAGAGTTAAATACACAAACATAAGATCTGTCTTAAGGAGAAGAAAAGCTAAAGACAGAGCTATCATGGATGTCACACTCACACTGTCCTGAATTGCTTCATTTTTCTCTGTGTTTTCCTCTAGAGAAATCCTCTCTTTCAGGCCACTCCTGGGACTCTAATGAGAAAAGAAGAAGAAAAAAAAGATTTTCAGTTCATTTCAATAGGCTCACTGAAAGGAGAAAAGAAAAATAGTGTGAAAAAATAAGCTTCTAAATTTCACGTTGTATCTAAAACTACGAAGTATTTTTCATGTAATACCTGACTCTACTACTTTTTTCCTAGCTTTCTCAAGGCTCTTATGCTATTAGATTTTCAGTTTTGTGTTGACAAACATACTATCAACAAACAGTTTCACCTAATCTTCAGGCCTGGGAGTTAGTTTTATATCAAATAACTCTAATTCAATATATTACATATCTCAAAATCTCAAACTCATTATGTCAAAACAAACTATCTTTATTCATATGCTTCAATCCCTGCCTTTCTAAACTATCCACTGTAAATTATGAGTATTTTGTCCTATTAATATGAAAGGAATTAAAACTGTATTTTTCTGTCACCATCTCCCATGAAAGCTGCTAAACAGACCTTCATAAAATTCATATGACATGTTTGGGATGACCTCTTTTGGGGGCTGAGGAATTCCCTAAAGCAATGAGGCATTCTAACAGAGCAACTGAAAATGATGAACAAGAGGCTGGTGGTATAGGAAAGGAACGTGTCTTCTATGAACACACCACAATATCACAGGTCAGAGAAAATAGCACCTTTCAATGAATGATTCATCTTGAATAAATGAATGACTCTAGGTTTTAGATAAGAGATATAAAACTAGAAGAAGCTTGTCATAAAAAAAACAAGGAAGCCTTCTAATACTGGAGAGTTACGTCAAAAGGGTAAGAGACAAAACATGAGGCTCCCACTGACCAAAAATGGCTAACTCATGTTAGAATGTGAGTTCAAATATTACACACACACACACACACACACACAACCCTTTCATGAGTCACTCGGGTTTGTTAAGGTAGCTACTTTTTTGAAAAGGAGAAGATTCTTTTCAGATTCCTCCTTGCAGAAAGTCAAACAGAAGATTTTATCCTTCAGCACCTGTATAAGCTATATGTTAGAGTTACCTGATAGCTATCAAGGGAAACTTTTTTATAAAACAATTCCTTCTAATAAACACAGCAAGAGTGACAAAATTGTAATACCATCCTTTGAAACTCACAATTAAATAATGCATGCAGCATTTTGATTATCAATGGCACACAAGAACATTACATGAAAGATTGAAGGGGTAGGCATTGTGGCTTGGGACACCCACATCTTACAGTGCCAGTTCAAGTCCTGGATGCTCTGCTTCTGATCCAGCTTCCTGCTCATGCATCCTGAGGAGCAGCAGATGATGTCTCAAGTGCTAAGGCTACTGCCACCCACGTGGGACAGAGATGGAATTCCAAGCTCTTAGCTTTGGCCTGGCCCAGCCCTGGCTGCTGCAGTCATCTGAGGAGTGAACTGGTGAATGGAAGCTGTGCTTTCTTTCTCCCTGCCTCTCTCTCTGCCTTTCACGTACATGAATATAAAATTAATAAACATTAAACAACAAAGACTGATAAGAGAATTTACAATGAGGAAATCACACTGACATCACCTTAAACAAACCACAATAAGAAAACCAGACCTCTTGGTGTGAAATAACAAGATGTATACAGCACTATCTATGAATTCCCGCCAAACAACCATCAAACCTTAATCTAATCAAGAATCTAGATCTAACTATCAGTTTTCAGGAAATATGGATAGAGCAACAGGTTATACAACACCATGAAAATGTAATTACAACGTAGTTGGTTTACTGGCTATATGACTCAATTTCTTTAACAAAACATAAAGGTAAGAAAAAAAAAAACCAGGAGAACTACTAAAAATTACAGAGATGGGGCTAATGCTGTGGCATGCTAGGTTAAGCCTCTACCTGCAGCACTGGCATCCCATATGGGCACCAGCATGAGCTTCAGCTGCTCCACTTCTGATCCAACTCTCTGCTAATGGCCTGGGAAAGCAGCAGCAGATGACCCAACTGATCCTATGTGGGAGACTCAGAAGAAACTCCTGGTTCCTGACTTCAGAAGGGCCCAGCTCTGGCTATTGTGGCCATCTGGGGAGTGAATGAGTGGATAGAAGACCTCTCTCTCTCTCTCTCTCTCTCTCTCTCTCTCTCTCTCTCTCTCTCCCCCCCCTCTCTCTTTCTATAACTTCACCTCTCAAATAAATCTTTTAATAAATCTAAATAAATCTTTTAAAAAACATCAGAGATGTAAAATGGCTTAACAAAAGGCAATATGAAGATCTTGAATAGATTCTGATTCAAATAAACTGTAAAAATATCACTGTACAATTCAAAGTGTATGTTAAAAAATTTAATTCTTTTTCATGTTTATTTTCAATATGTGTAAAAATATCACTGTACAACAATTCAAAGTGTATGTTAAAAAATTTAATTCTTTTTCATACGTTTATTTTCAATACGTTTAAAAGGCAGAGAGAGAGAAAGACAGAGAGCAAGAAAGCCAGTTCATCTGCTGGCTTGCCCCCCGATAGCTAGGGCTAGGCCAGGATGAAGCCAAAAGACCAAAACTCCATTTGGGTCTTCCAAGTGGGTAGCAGGGACTTAAGTATTTAAGCTGCTGCCTCCCACAATATACCTTAACAGGAATCTGGAACTGGAAGCAGAACCAGGACTCCCAGGCTGTCTGTTCTAGGATGTAGAGGCCCCAAGCAGCGTCTTAATGACTGTACCAGATGTTCACCCCAGAAAAATATTAACTCTTAAGGTTTGATAATGACATTATAGCTATATTTTGACAACATTTTTCTCTCTCAGTGAAATAATGCTGTGAATTTACTTTGCATCTATTTCCATTTTATGGAAGGTATGAAAAATAGAAGATCTGGACAAAGTAAGGGAACATGTGTTGATACCTGCTGAGGCTGGATTATCAGGAACATGAGAGAGATCATTATGCTACACTATCTGCTTTTGAACATGCTGGAGAAATTTCCAACTTCTTCAAAATAGCCATAAATTGAAAATCAGAGAAGCAGATGCTCTGAATGTTAGGTAACTTGTGGTCAAGTTACTTCTACTGGTATGTGAGCATTCTTTAAACTTTCTTTCTCCAAGGAGGGTTAAGCATGTGATTATAAAGAAAACTGAAAGCATGTTGTTATAAAAATCAAAATAAAAATAAGGAAAGGAGAAAGAGAGAAGATGGGAGTGTTTTTTATCAAAATAAACTTATCTTGCAATCCCATTTTCCCATACAATTTTTGAAGTACTCTTGTGTGTTTTTGTGTGTGTGTGTGTGTGTGTGTGTACAAAATTTCTATAGATTTACACAATATTTGCAAGAAACTGAAAAGGAAAGTAACATCAGACCCCTCTTTGCAGGTGCAGAAAACAAGGACCATGAAGGTAGGCAATTCCTTCAAGGTACATGGCTGACCAGTAGAAGTTGTGATTCAAACGTAAGTCATCTGATTTAAAATTCAACCCACTTTTCAAATGGGCCTGTGATTTCTGAGGAAGCCTTCCTAAATAAGTGGATTTTCAAAATCACTGACATCTGGCCCTTGAACCTCTGAAGCTTTTATTTTTTTAAAAGATTTTATTTATTTGAGAGGTAGAGTTACAGACAGAGAGAGGGAGAGACAGAGAGAAAAGTCTTCTATCTGCAATGGCCACAACAGCAGGAACTGAGCTTATCTGAAGCCAGGAGCCAGGAGATTCTTCCAGGTTTCTCATGGCAATGCAGTGGCCCAAGCAACAGCTAGGGCTGGGCCAGGCCAAAGCCAGGAGACAGGGACAGGAGCTTCTTCCGGGTCTCCCATGTGGGTGTAGGGGCCTAAGGACTTGGGCCATCCTCCAATGCTTTCCCAGGCCATAGCAGAAAGCTGGATCAGAAGAGGAGCAGCCAGGACTTGAACCAGCACCCATAAGGGATGCCAGCACTGCAGGTGGAGGAGGATTAGCTCACTAAGCCACAATGCCGGCCCCTGTTAAGAGAATTTAAAAGAATATGTCTAAAGCATTAAAGACAAGCTCTAGCAGAAAGTACATACTCAGTAAGTGGGGCAGGTAAATAAATAAACTTAAAAAAAAAAAAAAAACACCACAGTGTTAGCCATTCAACGTATATTTGTCAAGCAGTCTTCTTTTCTGACAGATCTCTCTTTTTCTCTAATTCATTCTCCACATTATCCTATTTCTGATGGTGCCTTTTTTTTTTTTTAAGTTTTATTTATTTTGAAAGTTAAGAGTTACAGAGGAGAGAGGGAGAAACAAAAAGAGAACTTCCACCCGTAGGTTCTCTGGGACAGGCAAAAGCTAGGAGCCAGAAGCTGCTTCTGGGTCTCCCACGTGGGTGTCTGGGGCCCAAGCACTTGGGCCATATCCCAGTGCTTTTCTCAGGGCAGCATCAGGGAGCTAGGTGGGAAGTGTGGCAGCCAGGACTTGAACAGGAGCCCCCAGTGCCTCTCTTCTGCTACAAGATTTTGTTTTGCTGCTCATTCAGATGCTTACTACATAACAATTACATGCCAGTCTTAATTCATTGGAATGCCTACTTCTTTACCCACTAATTCATTCCTTATTTTTAAAAGTTGTATTCTACTATAACATTTCTCTAACTACAACGTACATTCAAATTTCTCATCTGTATTCCTGTTCTGAATTTTTATGCTTTGGAAATAAGAAGTACGATAAAAGAATCCCTGGGCTCTCAGGGGAACTTCCCACCTGACAGCAGAAACAAGCCATGAACTTGACAGAGGAAGCAGAACCTAATCAAAAAGAATGAGAACAATTCCCAAAAGTAGCACTGCTAGATCAAGTTGAAGCCCACTATAATCTGTACTCAAGACTGTTTCAAAAATAATCAGTAGCCATTTCATCCATAATCCTAATTCATCAGGATGCCCTAAAATTTTCATGGTTTTCCCAAAATGCTATGTTTTCACACCCCAGTGCCCTTGTTCATATTTGGAGTACTAATACTTTGGGGTTAGACAGAGATAGAATACTTACTGCATGGGTAAGTAACCAGTACGAAATTTGGGCAAGTTGATTAAATCATTTTGGCGTCAATATTTTCTTCTGTAAAATTACAATAACAATAGTACTATTTCATAAGGCCATTTAGAGAATTAACTAAGATAAGGACTGTAAAACATTTATCACAGTGTATGGTATCTGTGCCTGGTATATGGTAGCTATTTTAAATTTTTTTTCTCAAGTTAAAATTAAAATTTTCCATTAAAACCTTTAGCCAAGCCAATCACAAGACTCCTTTAAGGACTTCATTTGAAAAAAAAAAAAAAATCCTCAAAGTTTCCTTGCATGAGAAAGTGAGTCACTCGGCCTGAGCCTCAAAAGATAGCTGGAATGATGGCTTTAACCGTAGCTTTCAATTTTTCACTTTAAACCACAACCTTCAATAAGAGAGAAATTTCATATTGTTAACCAGCATGTACTGTGTATATACGACAAGAGTCACAAGAAGTAACACTTCTTCCACATGCAAAGCATCTGTATTTTCTATTCTACTCTTTAAAAAAGAATTCTAGTCACAACCCACCAACTTGATTTCATGACCCACAGTTCCAAAAACCCTGGCTTTATCTATTTTGCTCATCACTTTGAAAGAGGGTGACCTATTTTTAAATCATTATTCTTATCATTGCATAAATTTTAAAACTACTAAGTAACACTAAAGTCAGCTTTTAAATTTTCATATTACTATGATACTGCACCATATTCAACTTAAAATATGTTATTAACATCACCTTATCCATGTTCATCTGGTAGTTCCTGGACGAATCAAGGAAATGCTGTTACTAAACCTAGGCTATTAACTGAAGTCTAGCTAACAGGACTGAAGCTTTTCCTCTTTGTAATGGCAAAGTGCCCCATGATTCAAGACTGAGTCACTCTGACCACAAATGGAATATTGACATGCTCTGAAAGATATCAACAGCCGGCCTCTCGGTTCAGTAAGAAAGCACTGGCATTATTAACTCCTCTACCCACAAGCAAGACGCTTGCTGGGAAATTCCATCCCCGCAAAACAAACCTTTGGCAATGGATGTTGAAGGGAAAAAGTGACCTCTGAAATTAAAAAGCTTAAATACAACAGTATCCAGAATTTCTGCTAATCAAATTGCTATACTGAAGACTGGGATGAGGGCCAGCACTGTGACACAGTAGGTTGGGCTGCTGCCTGAGACACCAGCATCTCATATGAATGCCAGTTCACGTCCCAGCTACTCCACTCCAGCTCCCGGCTAATGTGCCTACAAAGACAGAAGATGGCCCAGGTACTTGGGCCCTTGCCACCCAAATGGGAGACTCAAGGAAGCTCCTGGCTTATGGATTTGGCCTGGCCCAGTCTCAGCCTTTGCGGCCATCTGAGGAGTGAACCAGAGGATGGAAGATATCTCTCTCTCTCCTCCCTCCCTTCCCCTCGCCCCTATCCATTAACTCTGTTTTTCAAATAAATAAATCTTTTTTAAAATATTTATTTAGGCCAGCACCGCGGCTCACTAGGCTAATCCTCCGCCCGCAGCACCGGCACTCCGGGTTCTAGTCCCGGTTGGGGCGTGGTTCTGTCCTGGTTGCTCCTCTTCCAGTCTAGCTCTCTGCTGTGGCCCGGGAAGGCAGTGGAGGATGGCCCAAGTGCTTGGGCCCTGCACCCACATGGGAGACCAGGAGGAAAGCGCCTAGCTCCTGGCTTTGGATCAGTGCAGTGCGCCGGCTGTAGCAACCATTTGGGGAGTGAACCAACGAAAGGAAGACCTCTCTCTCTCTCTCTCACACTAACTCTGCCTGTCAAAAAAATATTTATTTATTTGAAAGGCAGAATTAGAGAGAGGCAGAAGCAGAGAGAGAGAGAGAGAGAGAGAGAGAGAGAGGTCTTCATTCCACTGCTTCACTCTCCAATTGGCCACAATGGCTGGAGCTGTGCCAACCCAGGCCAAGAACTTCTTCTGGTTCTCCCACGTGGGTGCAGGGGCCCAAGGACTTGGGCCAACTTCTACTGCTTTCCCAGGCCACAGCAGAGAGCTGGATCAGAAGTGGAGCACCCAGGACTCAAACCGGTGCCCATATGGGATACCAGCACTGCTGGTGGCAGCTTTATCCACTATGCCACAGTGCCAGCCCCCATAAATAAATCTTATTTTAAAACACAAAGACTGGGATGGTAAACAGTGAGCAATAAGACACCGCTAAAGCATGTAACTTCAAATTAAGAAAAGGGCTGTAAGACATAATCCAAGAAGATAATGATTTAACGTATTTAATGCTTACATCTGTGTTGTCACTACTCGGCCGAGAAGTATCTCCACTGCTGCAATCAGTCCTGCTCAGTCCATCTCCAGGATCCACCTCTGCATCACTGACTGTCAGGGCATCACCTAGAGGCCTGGAGGGTGTAACTATGGCTCCATCCTAAAAGAGATCAAAGGAACACACACAAACACATAGAAGAAAACTTCGATTATTGACTGTGTAAACAAAGTGGCACTACAATCTACATGGAGTACACAAAAAGTTGGACACTCTGATGTGATCAACAATGCTTAATGTTCTATCAGTAAAAAGCACAAGCAACTACTAAATTCTATGATTCTAAAATGCCATAACACTTCCAGTTAGGGAAAGTATTATTTTAATGAAAAGAAAAGGTCCAACTTCAAAATATAGCAAAAAGATAAACCAGCTTGTTAAATAATTTATGTTATCTGCTCATTAGTAAGGATTATTATACTATAACTCTGGTTAACTGGCTTCCAGTGCTTCAGAGTTTCAATAAGTTGCCAATTCTGGCACATAATGTGGTAACAAATTATTAATAAGCTTTTAGATCAGGAATCACATTTTTAGTGTTGGATCAGGATAAGAATGGGGTCTTTTCTCAGTGATAAAAACATTAAAACTTTCAACATTACTGAGGCATAATACTTAAAATGTGACACAGCAAGTGGAACTGAAAGGAGTAAAAAATAATAATGGGTAATGAAAAGCACACTAAACAGGAAGTCAGGAGACCTTACATACCATGTGTGGGTGACTTTGGGCAATCATTCAGTTTAGGACCTACTTTTCTCAACCACAACATGATTTTTTTCACTTGAAAAATGAGCAGATTAGGCAAGCATTAGTTCTGTGAATACGTAGTTTTCACTTCAGACCTAACTCAGAAATACCGACACATCAACAGCTTTCACTCATTTTAAATGCACAGGTAATCTGTCCATTTTGCTTTAAGGTGTAGTATAAGGAACTTTCCTTATCCCAAATATGAGTGTTACAGAATATAAGCCTTGGTTGACCAAGAAATGCATAACTTTTTTTCTGATGAGACCATTATCTTCGTGACTTACATCTATATAGAGAATCGTAACCTCTATTTAAAACTACAAAAAAAAAATTACATAGTTATTAAGGGTATGAATGTGCTTTGAAATCCTCAGACCAGATTTGAATTCTAGTCCTATCATTTTTAACCTACGTCACTGACGTCAGACCAGTTACTTATCTGTGTTTCTCTAGGTATGTGTGTAAAATGGGGGAAACCACAGGACCTAATTTCAGAGGGTTATTGTGCAGATTAAGTAAGAGAATGTTTGTTCATGTGTTCATCACAATGCATGTCAATTTATAAAATATTGTATCCATCCTTCTTAAAAGCATATCAACTGTCATTCTGTATAAAGATCTCAGAATGAACCACAAAAATTAAAAGTATTTAAATACAGTTTAGTAGTCTGTCACATCAAAGCAAAAGCATTCTTTTTTTAAATTATTATAGAACAGAGAAAAGTGATATGAGCAAGCAAACAATCAGAAGCCCACACTTATTTTTGTTAATTATCCTATATAGGACATCCTGCTGTCCTATCCTAGAAAAATAACTTTTTAAAAAGGCGACTGCAACATTCTCTGACACATTCCCAGAAGAAAATTCTCCTGCAAGGAGTCGGGTAGCATGTGTACCAGTGATGCTACCTGAGCAGGGCCTGTGGCTTTGGATAACTGCTCTTGCAGCTGAGGAATGTGTCTCTTGGCCTCTTGGATCTCTTTTAGCAATCTTTGGACAGGTGTTCGGTTGTAATCTTCCTGCAATAACTGAAAAGTTATAAAGATATTTTGAGAATTAATTACGTATGTCAAGAAAATATAGAAAAAATCTATTCTTAATCATTAAAAGAACTGATGGCATTGATTACAATACTGCTTGACTGTGATTATGATAAATACCAACTCAACTATGCCCACTCACATTTTTACTGCCCTATACACAGTCCTATTTCCATTTTAGTACCTGTAGCCGTTCCTGTTCTTTCTGTAACATTTTTCTCAGAATTTCTACTTTCTGGTTATGAACCACATTGTTTTCCTCCTAGGAAAAGATAAAAACAAACAAACAAACAAACAAAACCAATACAGAAAAGGTGAGGATAAAACAAACAGAGAAAACAAGATACACAATTTTCTGTCTCAGTTCCAATTATCAATACCAGTTAGAATTATCTTTATTCCCGGTGGCTATGAGGACAGGCTTTTCCATGTGACATGTACCAACATAAAAGGCTCTAGGGAAATGTCTGCCCTTCTGTTTCACTTTTACTAAACTATGTTCAAGAGAACACTGAGTATCAGTATTAGGGGGCTGAAGTTGCGGTAGGTACAACAGGGATACGCCTCACCTCCTCTGGATCTTTGTGTGGCTCACATTCTCAGGACTCCCCTAAACTAGGAGCACTGTTTTCTAAGCCATCTTTCACCACCTCTCCTTGTTTCACAACCCTATAATATTTTAACAAATTAGTCTTCTTTATAATCTTGTTATAATCATGCAACTCTCTTGCTCAAAAAAATACTTAAATAGATTCCTATGGCTTACTCTCTTTACAGATAATTAGTCTCATGGTTGTGATTTTTTTCCAAGATATAAAGTCAATCTACTTTTTTCAAGCTCATCTCCCCATACATACATCATTAACAGATCCTAGCCAAACAGAAGCCCTGGTTACATTCTCAAAAACATTGGTGCTTTCTTGACTCAGCTTCTCTTTATTCTACCTCTACCTGGGTTGTCTTCCTCCCCACTCCACTGGTTAAATAATACCAGCATTTCAAGGATCAATTAAAATAAAACCTTTCCATAAAGGCTTTCCCTATCACAACCACAAGTGCATTTTCTGTCCTTTGAATCCTCATAGAACTTTGTATTTCTTCCTTACTTGTATAAACTTGATCCAATTTCAGTCAACAATGGCTTATTAAACACCTATTATAAAACAAGCAGTATTTTTGTCATTGGGAAGACAATAGGAAACAAACAGAAAAGCCTGGTCCTCCCAAAGTACACATTCCAAGATGACTGAAGACCTTAAACAAAGAATATCTTAGTATTTTTATGGGTGACATGTTGCTTTGTATTTGATAAATGTTTAATATTTGTTTAATTAAATCTGCTATGATGATATGCTGCAATCATTCCAAATTATTATATAATTTGTGTATTAGGAAATGACCTTCTGGAATCTTAAATTTGTTTTTCATCCCAAAACATTAAAACTACTAATATAAAGCAAAGGCATCCTTATACAATAGGGCATTGATTAAGCAATTTTCCTACTCTTACCCCCATAAGCACAGGACTAGTGATTCTCTCCATATTCCCAGATGCTCCAGGTGAATGAGGGGATGTCATGACAGGAGACATATGTCCAATGACTGATGGTTCTACTTCAGAATCGGCGAGCGGAATCTGGGGCGACCCAGGTGGGCGTCCCTGAACAGTGAGAGCTACATAGGAACCAGCTTAGGACAGGCAGATGGGAGAAAGGGAAGGAAAGGAAAAATACTATTGTCAAGAAACATTTTATAACATTTCACTACTTAATCTTCAACCCTTCTAAAAGACCCAGTTATGTGAAAAAGTCCCATCATTTGCTAATAATGGCTCCATAGAAAAGAAATCCAATCTGTCATTTCCCTTTCGTAACTGCTCTAAAAATCTAAATGAACAATACAGCTTGCAGACAGCAATTTATTACTACTCATAAGATATTACTTAGAAACAAATACAATTTCTAACATCAAGGCTGGCATTCTGGCGAAGCAGGTAAAGCTGCTGCCTATAATTCTGGCATTCCATTTGTGCGCAAATTCGAATATTGGCTGCTCTACTTCCAATCCAGCTCCCTGCTAATGCAGCTGGAAAAGCAGCAGAGAATGGTTCAAAGTCTTGAGACTCTGCACCCAAGTGGCAGACCAGGAAGAGGCTCACAGCTCCTGGCTTTGGCCTGGCCCAGCCCTGGTTGTTGCAGTCATTTGGGGAGTGAGCCAGTGGATGGAAGATCTCTTTGTCTTTCCTCCTCTCCCTCTGTAACTCTGCCTTTCCTTTTTTTTTTTTTTAATTTATGTATTTTTATTTATTTTATTTGAAAGGCAGAGTTACAGAGAGGCAGAGGCGCAGAGAGAGAGAGAGAGAGAGAGAGAGAGAGAGCATGTCTTCCATCCACTGTTTGACTCCCCAGAGTCAACAGTGCAACAGCCAGAGCTGCACTATCTGAAGCCAGGAGCCTGGAGCTTCTTCTGGGTCTCCCACGTGGGTGCAGGGGCCCAAGGACTTGGGCCATCTTCTACTGCTTTCCCAGGCCATAGCAGAGAACTGGATAGGAAGTGGAGCAGCCGGGTCTCGAACCAGCACCTATATGGGATGAAGGCACTGCAAGCAGAGGCTTTACCTGCTACACCAAAGTGCTGGCTCCTCCGTCTTTTCATATAAATAAATCTTAAAAAAATTTCTTAACACCAACAATATATTTTCCTAAATTAGAGAAGAGTTAATGTCAACCATCTATTAATTACTATGTTCAATTGATTTCCTAAATGTAAATTCTTACATCTATATATTTTTAAATGATACTAATTAATCAGGATTTTAAAAAATACTCTACAATATTAGAATATAAGCTGTAACTTTAAATTAATTTTACAAAATAAATAAAACCAAAAAAATTCCAAAACTATCTCATAAGTAATGAATTTAAATTGAAAAAGTTTGGAGGAGCTGATAGAAACCCACCAGACATTACAGGGGGAAAAATATCTTGAAAGCAAAATTCAGCACAATCAGATATTCATTAAGTGATTAGCATCAAACAGAAAATGTTCCAATTAAATGACTTTTCTAGTCAAAATGACAAAAACACGTAAACAACAAATCCTTTCTCTTAGAATTTTCATTAGAACTTTTAAATGTACTTCACATTTATCTTCAAATTTAACTCTCCCATGGAACTCACACCAAATATTTCACAGTGTTTTGAGGTTCTAAAAACAAATTTTGTTACACTAAGTCATAAGTGCTATGATTTGAGGGAATTCTAAGCATAACATTTTTTAAGGCTTTTCAATCTTACTGCGCTCTTTCAAAAAGTCACCTGTGAAAGGTCTTCAAAAAGTTCATGAAAAATGAAAAAAACTGCATGGATTTCAAAATTGCTTTACACAAATTAAACTCCTCTCTTAATTCCATTTATCCAGAAGCCTTTTGAAGAAGTCCTGTATTGCATCCTACTTGACAATGTGCTTACCTTCAACGCTTCCAAGCTCTTCCCTTCCCTTCTTTGGCTATTTCTAATTGCTCAGATTTGAAATCATTTTTACTATGCTGACGATATGCATTAAAAAGTAGTGCACAAGAAAGCTCTGTCACAAGGATGCACAGGTTTTACGTCAAATTTTTATCAGATTTTGGATATTCAGTGTTACATGTATTTAACCTTAAAGTTTTTAGTTATGCCCTAACTTTTGGATAAGAAATCTACAGGGTACTTGAAATGAGTTCATGCATATTACGAAGAAACTATGCATGCATTAAATAAACTTATCCTTTTTTTAAGGTAGAGCAACAGAGGCAGAGAGAGAGAGAGAGAGAGAGAGAGAGAGAGAGAGAGACAGAGGGGAATCTTTTATCTGCTGGTTCACTCCCTAAATGCCTCCAACTGCTAGGGCTGGGCCAGGCTGAAGCCAGGAGTCTGAAACCCATCCAGGTCTCCCACAAGAGTGGCAGGAGTCTACCCACTTGAGCTATCACTTGCTACCTCCTTGGATAACATTAACAGGAAGCTGGATCAGAAGCAGAATAGCAAGGACTTAAACCAGACACTCCAAAATGGGATGTGGGTATCTCACATGGCAGCTTACCCAGAATCAATTAAGTTGCTTAACTTAAGCAATAAGAAGGCCAATAAATAATTCATTTACTGAATTTATTCTAAAGATGTCCATCCGCTTAATAAGACAGAATTAAATAAAAGTGATTCTGCTTGACTACAACTATCTTCTGCAAAATAATCAGATGCAGAAGATCCTACATATTTTTTAAAATTTTGTTCAGTTTAAACTGTCTTTTACCTTTAAGAGACATAATTACAAATACGTAAATCTCAAGCCAAGCCGGAACAAAGAAAACATAGTGCTGGCACTCTAATATGATTTACTGTATTTACTTCTATTACAATTGTCATGTTATAATTTATTCAATAAAGAAAGCAATCAGAAAAACAGAATCTTCTGGAAAGTAGGTGAGACTAAAGACTAACCCATAAAGCCAAATTGAGGCCTGTGTAGACAAGGTTTGATGGACTCTGAGATTCAAAATCTCTACTCCATCACCACTTGCATGTAAAGTGCACACGGTCTCTGAGCATCTCCCTCCTCCAGTGCAGATAAAACTGAGGCCCTGTCAGTGGCTGTGGCCTGGCCTGCCCACGTCCCATGGCCAACTTGGACAGTGTGGTTTCACCTCTTGCCCCAACTCTCATCATACTGAGCTTCAGTTTCTCTGTGGAACACTAACCCTGCGTGGGCTACTCACATGAATCTAAAGACTCATATATGCTTTTTTTTTTTCTTAAGATTATTTATTTTGAAAGAGTTACAGCGACAGAGGGAGAGACAGATAGATATTCCATCCACTAGTTCAATCCCTGGATGGCCACAATGGCCAGTGCTAGGTCAGGCTGATGCCAAGAGCAGGAGCTTCATCAGGTCTCCCACATGGGTAGCAGGGGCCCGAACACTGGGGCCACCTTCTTCTGCTTTTCCCAGGCTATTAGCAGGGAGCTGGATTGGAAGTAGAGCACCCGGGACACAAACTGGCACCTATATGGTATGCTGGTGCTGCTGTCGGTGACTGTACCTGCTATGCCACAATGCTGACCCTGATCTTAAGTTTTTTTTAAAGATTTATTTAGTTACAGAGAGAGAAGGAAAAGCAAAGAGAAAGAGATTCACTCCACAAATGTCCAAAACAGCCAGGGCTGTGTCAGACCCAAGCCAAGAGCAAGCAGCTTCACCTTGTTCTTCCACATGGATGCAGGGGCCCAAATATTTAGGTCATCTTTTGCTGCTTTCTCAGGCTCATTAGTAGGGAGCTGGATCAGAAGTGGAGCACCCAGTGACTCATGTGGGATGCTGGCATTGCAGGCAGCAGCTTAATCCACCACACTACAACACCAGTCAGATCATAATTTCTTTTCTTTTCGACAGGCAGAGTTACACAGTGAGAGAGAGAGGCAGAGAGAAAGGTCTTCCTTCCACTGGTTCACCCCCTCAAATGGCTGCTACGGCCGGTGCACTGCGCCGATCCAAAGCCAGGAGCCAGGTGCCTCCTCCTGGTCTCCCATGCTGGTGCAGGGACCAAGCACTTGGGCCATCCTCCACTGCACTCCCGGGCCACAGCAGAGAGCTGGACTGGAAGAAGAGCAACCGGCACAGAATCGGCGCCCCATCCGGAACTAGAACCCAGGGTGCCGGCGCCACAGGTGGAGGATTAGCCTAGTGAGCTGCGGCGCCAGCATAAATTCTTAACCCTGAAGTCTTCCAAAGGAGAAGACTATCCCAGATTTATATAATCATATTACATATCTGAGGGAAAGCGATCCTGCCAGGTGATTTCTAAAGTTCCATTTCGGTTCATGAGGCCATTGTGTCTGATTCCTCCACCTCTTCCCCTGTCTCAGGTGACTCAGGCATCTCTTTAATGTCTATGTATTCAGTATTACCAAGAATGACCGGGCATTACAATCAAATTCATATGTGGAGCTGACAGAAGATAGTTACTAGTAGTTAGGAGTTTTCATCTCAAGACTGTCTTTCAATGTATAAGTCAGCAGTGTCCAGCTAAGGGCTAAATTTGGTCCACAGCCTAGTTTAGTAAATAAAGTTTTAGTGAAAAACTGCCATACCCACTCATTTACATATTGTCTGTGCTTTCATGCTACAATAACAGCCCAACATGGCCAACAAAGCATAAAATATCTACTATTTGGCCCATTACAAAAACTGTGTGCTGATCTTTGCTTTATGGGTTTCAGAAAACAACTAAAATTAAGAAAAGCTTTCACCTACATTTGATTAGCTTCACCACTTCCAAATGGTTCGAATGAGTCACCAGAGTTCCATTCACCTACAAGAAAATTAGAACAGTTAACGTCAGACACATTCTACCGAGACAACGGATACACTGACTTCAGGAATTCTCATATGCAACATAACCAATTACAATATAATGAGCAGGGTTACAATAAAACATGGACATATTTAAATCAACAATCACTTTTATGACTATTCTATAAGGTAGATTCTGCCACAAAAACAAATTTAAACACAAAACAAGACCTTGATATAAAGGAAATCACAACCTACCACCATGACAGAAATATGCCATGAACAGATTCACAAACCCTTACAAGAGTAAAGGATTCTTGCAAACAGCAAAGATCTCTGCTTTTATTAGCAAGTCCTCGATTTGTCAAAATTATAATAAGTCAAAAAAGATAAAAAAAAATCAGTATTTCCACAAAAATACTCAATTTACTTTTGGTTTTCCAAGTATGACTGAAACATTACAAAGAGCATTAATTTTTAGACAGGCTAAATGTAGAAAATGTCACTGAAAGTCTCCAGTAAACTGAACAAATTAAGGGAAAACTATCAAATGTGGATTTAACAATAACTTTGTTATTCCCTCGGAAGCAAAAAAATACTGAAGTTCACACATATCAACATATAAAACAGAAGTAAAAGTATACTCATTATGCCCCCTGGAGATAAAACTGTCAATTATGACATTTGTTTTTGAGAGACTTTTCCAGGAAATACATAACAGATAGATACACAACATACACTGCCTTTCTGCCTACCAAAAAATACTTGTTTCCACTGTATTGTTAATCTTTCAATGTGGGTACATGAAGACCTAATCTATTCTTTATAAAAGCTACAGGTAGAATTTATTTCTATAGTCCTCATTTCATGCACATTCAGATTCTTTAAAAGTATTCAGGGTGATAAAGCTAAAACCAATTTTCCTGTACATATATCACTTCACATCTGTTTACTCACTTCCTTAGAAAAGTTCCTAAAAATGGATTGCTGGTCAAGGATTATATACTTTTAAAAATAAGATTTATTTATTTATTTGAAAGTCAGAGTTACACACAGAGAGGAGAGGCAGAGAGAGAGAGAGAAAGACAGAGAGAGACAGGCAGAGACAGAGACATCTTCCACCCATTGGTTGACTCCCCAATTGGCTGCAATGGCCAGAGCTGAGCTGATCCAAAGCCAGGAGCCAGGAGCTTCTTCCAGGTCTCCCACGCAGATGCAGGGACCCAAGTACTTGGGGCCATCTTCTACTGCTTTCCCAGGGCATAGCAGAGAGCTGGATCGGAAGTGGAGTGGCCAGCACTCGAACCAGCGCCCATATTGGGTGCCGGCACTGCAGTTGGTGGCTTTACCTACTACGCCACAGCACCGGCCCTGGGTTATATACTTTCTTAGGGGCTTTGGCATATATTCATATGCTATGAAAGCGAAATTCCCACCCAGATGGAAACTTATGAGACAAGTCATTTTACCATACCCAAACTATGTCATGTGTATATTACCAATCTTTAAATTTTCTGACAATCAAATATATTTTTCTTTATAACTATCATTTTAATTTCTACTTCTCTGTTATCAATTCAGTTGGACATATTCCCATTAACATGTTTATCTAATAAAATTATTTGCCCATATTTCTATTAGAGTATTCTTTCCTTAGTAATTTAAACGTGCTCTTCACAATTAAGAATATAATGCTCTGTGATACACTTCAAATATTTTTTCCAAACTGTTTATAAAATACATTCATGATGTCTTTTCCTGTATAATAATTTAAATAATCAAATTAATCATCTGCTTCAAGAACAACTACTGACTCATTCTTTCTCCACTGATCAGAATTTACGGTCTTTCTAAATTCCATTTTGTTCCACTGGCAGGTATATGAGTATATCTAAATTAGAGCCAGATAATCTAAATTAATCCACACCATCTCTTCTCATACCTATCCACATACATGACACACTTTTTGCTTTTTTTTTTTTTTAAGGTTTATTTATTTATTTTAAATTCAGAGCTACACAGAGAGAGAAGAGGCAGAGAAACAAAGCAGAGGTAAAGAGAGAGAGGTCTTTCATCCAATGGTTTACTCCCCAAATGGCTGCAACAGCTGGAGCTGCGCCTATCTGAAGCCAGGAGCCAGGAGCTTCTTCTGAGTCTCCCACGTGGGTGCAGGGGCCCAAGGACTTGGGCCATCTTCTACTGCTTTCCCAGGCCATAGCAGAGAACTGGATAGGAAGTGGAGCAGCTGGGTCTCAAACCAGCGCCCATATGGGATGCTGGTGCTTCAGGCCAGGGCGTTAACCTGCTGTGCCACAGCGCCGGCCCCCACTTTTTGCTTTAGCTACTCTTACACCTGTCGCTCCCCCTCTTCGTGGAGGAACGACACAGGACCCTGCGCTGTTCTTTTGTCTGCTCGGCCCTCCCCGGGTTTGCTGCTGGTTCTTCCCGGGTTGGCTACCGACCCTTCCACCTCCGTGGAAGGGCGGTTCCCCCTGCCACCTTCCCCACTTCCGCGGGGGAGTGGCACACCGCTGGCCGGCTCTCTCGGGGGCTGCACAGGTGTTCCTCAGGTGTTCCTCAGGTGTTCCTGGTGCATGTTGTCTCTCTCCTCCTTTATAGTCCTCTTCCACCAATCCCAACTCTGCTACCCACACGCCGAGTACGCTGCTCTCCTCCAATCAGGAGCAGGTCCTGCTGTTTACTGGTTGAACTGGAGGCAGCTGTGTAGAAGCTGTTTCCTCCTCTCCCAGCGCCATATTGTGGGAGAGCAGATGCATAGAATAAGTCTTAATTCCAGTAACTTAGTCTAGTCCGAGTTGCTCCTAGTTGCTCCCCACAACACCTTTATGAAATTTATTGGGAAGAGTAGTCAGTTTGACAAATAACAATACACAACTATAGTTCTATTTAGTATTTTGATGAGAATTTCTAGCAAATATTAACTTAGAGAAAATAATCTTTAAAATAGTGAGTCATTCTCCTACCCAAGAATATATATGACTCCATCTATTCAAGCTTTTTAGTATGCCCTTCAACAAAAAGAATATTAATTTAAAAACAAGTAAGTACTTTGTAAAAAATATTTATTTTATTTATTTGAAAGGCAGAGTTACAGGGAAGGAGTGAGGGAGTAAGGGAGAGGTATCTTTCATCTGATGGTTCATTCTCTAAATGGCCACAATGGCTGGGGCTGGGCCAGGCAGAAGAACTATATCTGGGTCTTCCATACAGGTGGCTGCTTCAAGGCATATCAGCTTAACTCTGCTGTGCCCCAAAGCCAGTCCCCAAAGTGAATAACTTTTTAGAGTCAACAGATTCACCAAATGTAATGTACTGTTTTTTTTTTTTTTTTAATAAAAATCTGAGTAGGAAAAAGAAAATCCCACTATTGCTAATATATGTTGGTTTCTAATCCTACCATAAGTTCCACTAATATAATATAGCCTTTTCTTACCTTGATGATTCGATCACCTGTCTGTACACCAGCCCGCATGGCTGCTCCATCTGTAGGAAAAATTAACCACTTAAAATGTGATTCATTTGCATTTACTGATAATCTTCTTGAAAGACAAGGAGTGTTACTGAGTGGATAAAAACACAGGCTGTAAAATCAGATTCACAGGTCCAAATCCTGTCTCTGCCACTCATTAGTTGAATGATGTCACATTGATTTTAGCTTTTTTTTTTTTTACTGTAAGCCTCAATATGACCTATAAAATAAGGATTAAAAATACTTACCTCAAATTATAGCACCAATATAAAGTATTCAAAATACGGTAATAGCAAAAGATATTAACATTTTGGGAAAAGATTGAACATTTTTGTACCTATAGTCACTTCTTATATCTGTCTCTACCAAAATATTACTGGTAATGCGAAGAAATGAAATTCCAGAAACTTCTACAATAAAGTATCATATCCAAAGAGTCATACAATTCTTCAAACTATGGAAGAATTAGTTTCTTCTATAAAGTACAAAGAAAACCAACAGGAGTAAATTCATTCCTACATTGTGACACTACAAACAAATCCTAGCATAATACTACATATGACCGGTAGTCATGAAATTATTCTGTTTGGGGCAACAGATACTGTTTTAGCTCTTCTATTCTTATTCTGTTTGCTCCCAAGAGACAAAACTGTTTGAAAAAAATGCCTTGCCTTCTTTTACAGACTGTACGAAGACGGGATTGTCTCCACTGACCGTCAACCCAAATCCATTGTCATCTTTCTGGATGATCACACAACGCTGAACAAGACCTGTGTAAGAACCACAGGGTAAAGACAGAAGGGAGAGAAAACAAAAAGGAAAAGACAATAATTATATATTAATAATGAACTGTATCCTACCTAGAGAACACAAAGCAGCATATTTAAACCAATATATAAAATAAAAGCACTCACATCCAAAACAAAACAAAACACAAGAATCCTAGAGTCACATAGACTGGTTTCTCATTGGAGAGGGAGAGTGGAATTGCTACAAGATTAAAAAGAGCTATAGAAAACTGGAAAAGATGAGGTACTAGAGGTGAGACAGTTAGAAGGAAAACCTATTCACATCTGCACTATTTCTTGGTAATGTAAGATCCTTTCCTACCACCCTGTGTTTTAATTCGAGAAAGTCTAATGTTTAGAGGCATAAGGCAACAGTATGGTTTGGATATGGTATAAGTAGTCCCCAAGGCTTCATGTGTTGAAATGTAATCTCCATTGTGAGCTACAAAGAAGGTGGAAGTTTGGTTGGAGGTGGGACACTTAGGAAGAGATTAGGATTAAATAAAGTCATTATGGCAGAATCCCCATTGAATCCTACTGGCTTTATAAAAAGAGGGAGAGAGATGAGCATTTTCTGTCCCTTGCCATATGATGTCATGGACTTCCTTGGGACTGTGCCAACAGGAAGGCCGTCACTAGATGAGGAGCCTAAATCTTGTACCTCCAGGACCATAAGTCAAGATAAATCTCTTTTCTTTTTAAAGTAGCCTGCTTCAACTATTTTATTATAGTAATGAAAAACGGTAGTACAGGCTAGGAGCACCCCAAAGAAAATTCTGGACAAATTCAATCTTATTATCAGGAAAACAGATTGTCAAAAGAAAGGAGGTACTGGCAGGGTACCTGCAGCTATTCTTCCAAGAGAAAAAAAGAAAGCAAAGAAAGCAAAGGGAAGGAAAACCTTAAAGAGGAGAAAAAAGTAGAAAACGAAACTGTGAGCTCAACTATTTCATCTCTTTTATGTACTTACCTGATGCTCATAGAATAGTTTTCCTTCTAGTAAAATAGCAAATAAAAACTGTCAAGGCAAGATGAAAGAAAAAGGACTCCAACCATAGGAATAGAAATATCCCAGAATAGAATCCTGTTTTATTCTGTTTTATCAAAGATCTGGTCTGAAGATCTTGAACTCTTTGTTAGAGACTTAACACATACTTTCAGCTAACAGAAACAAAGCATTTCACCAAAAACCACTATATAAAACATGTAAAATAGCATAATTATTAGAAAATATAATTTTTAAAGAAAGGCTTTTATGCAATAAGCCACAATCTTAAGCAAGTTTGAGGTACAAGTTAAAAGATATGTTAATGTACATTAATCTACTTTGCCAATAATAACACAACGTGAACATGTAAGCCTACTAAAAACAAAGACTGGAGTAACTGGATCCCCATGAAGCAAACATGAACCTTGAACTTGTATCCTATACAAAAATTAACCCAAAACAGAATATGAGGCCTAAACCTAAAAGCTAAAAATTTTCAGAAGAAAGCCTAAGAGAAAACCTTTGAGACCTTAGGTAGGCACAGATCACTTGGGATGCAAATTTGTTAACTATAAAAAGAGAAAAACTGGCAAAGTGGACTCAAAATGTGTAACATATGCTCTTCTAAAGTTACTGACAAGAAAATGAAAAAGCCAGTCACATACCAAGAGAAAACATTCAAAGTACAATTACCTAATAAAGGGTTTGTATCCAGGTTATTATTTTTATTATTATTTGAAAGATAAGGGTCAGCACTATGGCATAGTAGGCTGTCTCCACCTGTGGTGCCAGCAATTCATATGGGCACCGGTTAGTGTCCTGGCTGTTTCTTTTCCGATTCAGCTCTTTGCTGATGGCCTGGAAAGGCAGTAGAAGATGGCCCAAGTCCTTGGGTCCCTGCATCCACATGGGAGACCAGGAAGAAGTTCCTGCTCCTGACTTCAGACAGGCCAGTTCCAGCCGTTGCCGCCACTGGAGAATTGAACTGGAGGATGGAAGATCTTTCTCTCCCTCTCCCTCTGTCTATAACTCTCCCTCTCACATATATAAATAAAAATATTTTTTAAAAATTGATTTACCTTAAAAAAAAAAAAGGAAAGAGAGAGATTGCAAGACAAAGGCAAACAGAGACACAAGAAATTTCTATCAACTGGTTCATTCCTCAGATGCCAACAACAGCTGGGGCTGGGCCAAGCCAAAGGCAAGCACCAAAAACTTAATCCAGGTCTCCCATGTAGGTGGTAGGAACCCAATCATTTGATTCATCATGTGCTGTTACCCAGGGTCCACATCAAAGGAAGCTAGAATGAAGAGCTGGAGATGGACTTGAATCCAGGTACTCTAATATGGATTGTGGGTATCTTAACCACCAGTCCAAATGCCCACTCCAGATTTAAATATACATGTATATATTCTAAAAACTGAATAATGGAAGACAGAATTTTAAAGGGACAAAGAATTTAAATAAACATCACAAATAATACACATCACTGGCAAATAAGTACATATAGAAGTGCTTAACCTCTGCAGTCATCAGGAAAATGCAAATTAAAACCACAATGAAATACACCTATACACCAACCAGAATGGCAAAAAATAAAGACTGGTAATATCAAGTGCTGGCAAGCTTGTGGAGCAATTGGAACTCTCACAATAATAATGTATTTATACTCTGTAAAACAGTATGGAAATTTCTTATAAAGGTAAACATACACTTACATATGACAACAATTTCACTCCCAAGAGCAATGAAAACTCATGTTCACATAAAAACTTGTGTTACACACAAATTCACAGCAGTGTTGTTCATAAAAGCCAAGAACTAGAAACAACTCAACATGTGAATGGATAAATAAAGTGTGGCATATTCATTCAATAAAATACTACTTAGGAAGAAAAAAAAAAACAACAAGCACAGATGAATCACAAAAACATCACCCTAGGCAAAAGAAGCCAGACACAAAGGAGAGCACATACATATGATTTCAGTATGAGCAGTGGAAACTAAACCACAGCAACAAAAAGCAGAACAGCAACTGTGTAGCAGCAGAGTGGAGAAGAGGGATGAGAATAACCGCAGACAGAAATGAAGAAAGGGTGTTGGGAATGTCCTATATCCGTGTTACAGTCATGGTTATATGAGGACATTGCTTCCCAGAACATAGCAAACTGTAAATTTCAAATGAGTTTATCTTTTTTATATAAATTTTACCTCTATATTTTAGTTGATTTTCCACATTAAAAAATGTGTTATGCCTTAATTCTGGCACCAACTAAACAGTACTTGTATTCACTAATTCATACTTGTAATAGGAGCAGAAGGAAGATAGCCCATCAGAATGCAACATTTTTCTTCTATTCAACGTTGCCTCCTTCAAGAAATTAGGAAATTAGGAGCCAATGCTGTAGCGTAGCCTCCACCTGCAGCAACAGCATCCCATAAACGTGATGGTTCATGTTCCAGCTGCTTCTGTTCCAATCCAGCTCTCTGCTTATGGCCTGGGAAAACAGTGGAAGATGGCCCAAAATGCTTGGGCCCATGCACCCACATGTGAGACCTGGCGGAAGCTCCTAGCTCCTGGGCTTTGATCAGGCCTAGACCCAGCCGTTGCAGCCATTTGGGGAGTGAATCAGCAGATGAAAGATCAAATCTCTCTGTCTCTCCCTCTCTCTGTCTATAACTCTACCTCTCAAATAAATAAAATCTTTTTTAAAAATTAGGAAACTATAAACAGGATGAATATGAACACATAAAATAAAGCAAGAAGTATTCCTCAAGGCAGGCATCTGGCATAGCAATTGAGAATGCAGTTGGGATGCTGCATCCCACACTGGAGTGCCTGGGTTTGAGTAACAGCTCCACTCCCAATTCCAGCTTCCTGCTAATACACATCCTGGGATGTGGCAGTACTCAAGTACTTGGGTCCCTGCTGTTCACACAGGAGACAGAGTTAAACCCATTTCTGACCAATCAGTCCTAGCTACTGTAGGCTTTTGGGGAGTGAACTAGCAGATGGGAGGTCTCTGTGTCCATCTGTGTGTCTCTATCTCTCGGCTTCTCAAATAAATGAAATAAACATAACATATTTTCAAGTATTCCTCATAAATTTCTAGTACTTCATAAGATAAATAGAACAGAGAACCTCAAAAAATAAGAGCAGCTTTTTAGATCTTTTTAAATCCATGCTTATTTTCAAAAACATAAATATTTTACATGTACTTCTTTATAGTATTTGAAATTTCAAAATAAACTCTACATTGTACTTTAACATAAAAAATTGGGATGGGAGCTTGGCCTAGTAGTTAAGATGCCATTTGGGATACTCGCCTCATATCAGAGTGTCTGGGTTTGCATCCCACTTCCATTTCCAAGTCTAGTTTCCTGCTGATATGTACCCTGAGGGCAGCAGGTAACGGCTCAAGTACCTTGGGTCCTGCTACTAACCAACAGGGAGATGCAGACTGAATTCCCTGCTCCTGGCTTCAGGTATTTGGAGAGTGACCCAGAAGACAGGAGATCTCTGTCTATATCTCTTTATGTCACTGCCTTTCAAATAAATAAATTCACTTTAAAATAAATAAAACTCAAGGCAATTACAACACTAAATATATTTTTTCACATTATATTCATGCTTCCCACTTCTCCCACTCCCCTTTCATAAGAGCTGAAAATCAGTGAACTAAAGGATTCTAATACTGGTGTTAAAGAGTGCCTGTAAGAGGCCAGATGAAAGGGTAGCTGGAGTGAAGGCATTTGCTAGGTTGGCAAGTCCCATTGGAATATAATGTATACAAAGTATTTATTAATTCCTGACAGATATTAAAAGTTCATAAATCATGATCAGAAGAAGGATGTCCTTGGATTTTCCTGCTCAAAAATTTGTCATTCATCTAACCATGCCACCACTAAAAATCAACAGCAACTCTTCTTATGTTAATAAACTCCTATCATTAATCTAAATTATCTTAGACAATCAAGTACATTTATGTCTCT